CTCTCTCTCTGTCCGAACCTCAGGCAAAATGCAATAATAGCCCTGATTCACTTACATACTCAACAGCACTTCCTCTCGGCCACCCAGAGTCCCAGCAGTTCCCTTTGAAAGCGTCCCAGTAAATTTCAGAGTTGTTGATTTACACCCCCGGAGATATTATAACACAGGAACCATCCGATATCATTAATTGAGCAGCAAAATTCTCGGAAAATTACAAACTTTAAATGGTTTTCCTTTATTAGGTATCCTGTATAAACTACAAACAATATTTTGTGCAAAATAACTATTCAAATATACTGAAGAAACACTTGATAGACTTCATACGTGCATAAAGTTTGCTTATTATCACATGAAAAGCTTCAAATTACTAAACTATAGATGAAGGAAATTGTATCATATTGTTTCTATAAGGAAATTGGTTATTAGTTTATTCACTGCAAATGGTAAATAATTATCTCACACATTACAGTAATTTGTCGAGAAAATCATTAGACAGAAATTGAGCGTAAGAGACAAATGAATAGCACGATTCCATGTAAGATAAATATAATTGTTGAGCGTGAAAAATCGAGAGGTCTGCAGAGGTAGATGTGTGCTGGCAGAAGTCAGGCGACAGATAATTCTCACATTCACCTGACTTTACCACCTTTGCGCAATTTATCACACTCAAAAGCACACACACACACATCTCAGCACACAAAAGCTTCCGCTTGAGATAAAAGCTCACCGTCCCGAGGAGGACAAATGGTGAGGGTAAAAAGTGGGTCAACTATTGAAAACATATACGAGGAATTCACCCTGACACAAAGTCGTTTGATAGCGTCGCCTTTCATTTCAGAGATCAACAATATGAGTAAAATAAGAATTGAATGTTGGCCAGGAAATATTACCATAATCCTTCTCGATTTACTTTCGCCCTGCTCAACCAATGAAAACAACTCATTTTGTCAGACATTTCGCATGGACCGGAGCAAAATCTCTTGAATTACTTGAACCCTTACCGAGACCCGACATAAATTTATTTGTCCGGCGACACAGATAACTCGTGTTATCGTCTATCATAGCATAGGAAAGAACTTTTAAAGGTAAGAAGTGAAGTATAAAGGCTGCACAGGATCTTATCCACATGAGAAGTCGGCGTTCGTTCGCAAAAGTTGTCGCAAAAACACAATTGTGGGCGGGGCAAAGAAGTGGGCGTGGTATTTGAAGCACAGCCTCAGTCTGGACTTAAGCATTGGAGTATCCAGAATTTTATGCCCATCAAAGGACTTTTTTAAGTCCTATTTACAGCTCAAAACTTTCTAAACAGTGTTTCCCAGTCTCGCTTATGCTAAACAGAAGTGCCATCTATTCGCTGTACAGCCAAAGCGTGTTCCATGTTTAATTAGACATAACATCGCACTGTATTTATGATAATTTCACTTTGCGATTTATTTAGAAACTTCACACAGGCCAAAAAGCCCTCTCTTCTAATGGCGGCAATTTAACAACCTGGCGGTGAAAATTCTCAACCCGTAATTTTGTCAATGGCGATGTGCAGGGGTGCAAAGTGGCACAAAAGGAGGCAGAAGGGCCACACCGACAAAAAAAAACTATGAATGAGTCGCGAATTTCCTTGCGGTGGCTCTCCCACCCCCCAAAGGGTGGTGAACTCTGCATAATGAGTCCCAAATTTATGCGTTGAAAACACGCCATTTATCGTGCTTAGATATGATTGAGGGGTCGAAAAGCGTCTGCAGAGGTTTGGGTCAGAGACTGCTGGAGGAGAGGAAAAAGCAACACCCCCACATAAGGGTGGTTCTGTGCCTCCTGGTAACTCACACAGCGTCGCTCCACTGTTTTACAACCAGCAGCAATTTGTATAATAATATTGCCTCTGTCGATGGAATAGTGTTTATGGCAAGTGTGATTAGGTTTTTATTGACTCACCGGCGCAGGTGGATTGAGACGAAATGCTCTTTTTCTCAGAACTTTCTCCCCCGCAGGGTGAACGTCTCAGGGTCACCTGAGCCCGGTGAACACACGTCTCGGCGTCCCCGTTTTTCCAACTTGTGGCCTGTCGAAAACAACACTGAGCGATTCCTCACGCCTTCCCACCCACTTTTCCACAGGACTGTTTTTCTTTATTTTTTTCTTTGCAAAAAGTGAGAGAACATGCGAAAAATATATGTGTTACCGCAGAACACATCCACAGGCAGTAATTTGCATGATTTTTCCCTCTTCTCTTGCGTGTCACGACGCTCTCAATATTAATTTTCTTGTCGCACTATAACTTCCACGATTAGTGTGTAAATGAAACATTTTTACATTTGATATTATTAATTGTTACCTTGCAAGATTTGTTCATGTTGTGACATTTATATGAGGAACACATTTCACCACAGCCCTTGAAGGTCGTCGTACACACTTTTTCCCGCACTTCACAGCGCGACAATATTGCATTTTCCATTCAGAGAGAGAGGGAAAAAATATTACATCTAATTTGAAAAGTTCCATCTCTTCACTTTGCTTGGCTCTTTGATTTTTCAACCGAAACAAAATTATACTCAGGCATTTTCCCAATGAAATTCACAGGCAAATTTCTATAGAATTAATGAGCACACCAAAGTAATAAAGTGTATTAAAATCCACACAGAAATGTTGTCAGTTGAAGGATTCTTTTCAGCATTCAACACAAGCTATTCGGAAAAAAGAAGCGTAAACCTTTTCATCACAGAGAATGCACCAACTTTTTCTCTCCCGAGCAAAGTCAAAGCATTGTAATCTATAGTGAAATACGATGCATTTATATAGAAAAACGTTGTTGAAAAAAAAGAGTTCACGATTTATAAATAAAGTTAAGCGAAAGAGAAAAGAGAGCTCTTTGTGACTGACCACCGAAAAATTGCTGATGTTTCCAACTCTTTCGTGAGTAATGAAAAATGCATTCATTTTGTTCCGAGATTTTCCACCAATGATGCGTTATTATAACAATGCTCAACTTTCCACACAGTAATTTTCACCCACGGTGAAAATATTCAGTTGACAATTTTCATAGAATTTTACTCTTTCTCTCTCTCTCTCTCTGGTTCAACGCAATTAACACCATAAACTGATTTTCAGCACGTGCAAACAATAGCAAAAGTTTTAACTTTTGTACATTTGAAACATTCCATTTGACCATAAAATTTCACTGACAAATCAGGCAAATAATTCACACAAACTATTGTCATGCGATATCGACAATTTTTAACATTACATCATCATAATCTATTGAATTTTCTGGAAATCAGCGAGGCAAATTTTCAGCTCCAAAAGAGACCAACATTAATTCGCAATGAAAAGAGTGATTTTCACGGTAAGCGATGAAATATTCAATTAATTTATTTAAAATTCACCGATGCAAATTATATTTTGCAATTATAACCAATTTCGTGGTGCTCAATAACCGCATTCTGTGCTTCACCGACATAAAACATTGGAGCCAAAATAAAGTGGAAGAGAGAAGCTGTGTGTGAAGACCAAAATAATCGATCATACATAATTCAAAAGGTACTTCATAATTCTAAGTGGTTGAGATGCGGCAAAAAGTTACTCTCTCTCTCTCTCTCTTTGCCCTCAGAGTTGAGTTGTGTGTGTGGAAAACTTTTCAAATTGTCCTTCAAATACCGAGAGCCTCCGGGAAAAATTCACCCGCCCGCATATCAATTGGGAATGGGGATGGCAAAAAGCCTATAAATCACCATCAGTTGGCAAAGGAGTGAGGAAATCCCAAAGCCGCCGCGAATTTCCCAGGGGAGTGTGAGTGGCGCATGCCGAGCGAAAATATTCAGCGTGTGTGTGTGTGTGTGGAGAAAACCCTTTTCCTTCAACCCCAATTGAAAGACTGATAGGGACATGTTAAGTGAATTTTCTTGTGAGAGAAAGGATTTTGCAAAATGCTCTCTATTCGCACTAAAGCATAGATAAATACTAGCCCAGAAAAGGATATGAAAAAAAAAAATCTCAGATCAATTCTCTTCCCTTTCAACATAAATATTGAAGATATTTCCATGGGAATTATCATGAAAGTTCTCAGCAGAGCACCAAAATATATTTTTCAGAAATCGCAAATTGTTCAAAAGCATTTCCTAGATAAATAAAATGATAAAATTCTCCTGTTCGTATAATTTTAATTCATTTAAACGTATTATTACATTCAACACTGGCTGGAATTTGCGTAATTTAGCTGAGAAGGTAAAATAATTGCAAAATTATAAATTATATTATAATCTCCAATGAGTTTTATGAATTAAAAATAGAAAAAAACCAACAATCATCGCTTGGCAAATTGAGTAAGATCAAAAGAAAACGTTCAATGCTGAGCTTTTTCAGCTTTTTTTTTTCTTCAGAGTGTGAGAAAATTCACTAATTTTCCATGTCACGAATTAGTTTAATTAATTCTTCGTATCTCGTCTCAACTTGAATTTTGAGTTTTCACACTTTCCCTACCTATAAGCTAATGAATTGACGTCAGATGCATTCAGATTCATTTCATTGAATTCGAGCAATTCCAGTAACTTTTGCTTTGACTTCTCCGCAAACAAATTGTAAATAAACTCTACAGATGGAATGTGAAAAGCGCGCTCCCGAAGGTAAAGAGTTGCATTGAGGAGCACATTCCAATTGCGGTTCTTAATTTCCCATTTGCAAAATTAACTTCATCACTGAAGTTTTCACATTGAATTTCATGCTTCTTTAGCGATTGCAATCATCGAGAGACTGGAAATTCGACGCTCTGCGAGGATTTGGGTCAATTTTGTCATCCTGAATAAAATATAATATCGCGCAAAAGGCTTCTCTCTGTGACCTTTTGTGTGCGACAAAAAGTGAGGAGCTGAATGTGAGTACAAAAACCCAAAAGTGACTGCAAAATGATATGAGCGGAAAAACATACCGAATGTCCTGCAGCGAGTGTTGCCCGTGCTCTGGAAAAAAGGACACACACACACATATACATATATACACAAAAGTCTCCATCGTCCGCTGAAATCCTCCACATTTAATCTGGACTCTGGGAAAAGCATTGGCTAACAGAGGAGCTCGGAGATTGCAGCACGATTTATGCAATGCCAAACCGCTTGTCACCACGTGAGCTTCTCCACATGATCCACCTTGCGCTTCGAGCTCCTGACGTAACCCAGAAACTCCAGCTCACCAACGGCTCGTGTGAACCTCGCCCTGTATGAGTGCGGTCAGTTAAGGGTGCACAATTGCCATGCATATAAATTAAATGCTGAATGTGATATCTTCTTGTGCAAAAGGATACTGAACTTGTGCGCTGACGCCTCGCTCCTCCCCCACCGCGTCATCCTGTGGATCCTGGACGATTGACTGGAAGGCCTGCAGCCAATCGAACAAATTAATCATCCGGCCACACTCACAGTGCAACCTGTAGGCGATGGTGAGATCCGGGAGGTGGCAATTGAGTGAGTTGCCGTCGCAGCAGCCGCACTACAAAGAGAATTGACCGATTTATAGGCTTCACTGCAGGTCATCCCTCAGTGCCCATTGCGGAATTATCCGAATAGCGCAGTAATTCATGGTTATTCGTGAGAATGGTTTCTCTCTGTCAATACCCTGAGAAGACAAATGATTCAATTTGCACGGAGATGTCCATCCTTTAGTTAACCCTTTGGAACAATAGACGAATTAAGTGATTAAGGCAATTGTGGGGTTGCACTCAGGATCCCCCAGACATAGGCATATGAACTGCGCATATCAAATTCCCTATTAATTAATTCACATTGCGAAGGCGTGAACTGCATTTTTTCCCATTGCATCACCACGCCCTGAGCAGCCCATTTGATTTTCCAACACTGATTTCCCAGAACAATCACAGGAAATAGCTGTGTTTTTGCCTATAGTGCTAACAGGTGATATAATAACTAGGGCAATAATGCAGCAATGTCAAGTGCAGAAATCAGCACTCACCTGGAAATAGTGCTGAGGATTGGTGAGAGCCTGATGCAGGGCTCCTCGTGGGGATCCAATGAGATGTCGTCTCGTCGAGGAAGCGTCCGAATGAACGAATAGCTCTATTAGAGGCGGGCCGCGCGTGAAGGGAATCAGCCAGGACCCCAAAATCTGCTCCTCCACAATTCTCAGGCACTCCGACAGCAATCCAGCCTGGCCAGACATCTGATTCTGTTCCTTCGCCTTCTCAAGCAGCATTTTCTTCAATTCAAAGCGATTGTTCACGCTCAGAAGTGCAGAATCTGGCTTCTCCTGTGCTTTGCCAACAACATCCTCTCGCAGGATTACTCTGCACTGTTCCAGAATGTTATGCATCCACTTCTGAATTGCTTGAACGTTTTGCGAAAAACACTGTTGCTCTAGGAAATCCTCAACTTTGTCCACGCAATCGCTGAGCTTTACGAAGAAGGCTTCCTTGGACATTAGCATCAGCAATTGTCGACACTCGACGTATTCTTGACTGCTGCTGAGAGAATTCACCGTGGCAAAGCAGTAGATCTCGCGCAGTTGCTTTCCCAGTGGACTCTTGGGCAGTTCTCTGACCAATTCGTAGAGAAAATGCAAGGCAGAGTGAAAGTGCAGAAAGAACTCCTCAATTGCGGGCATCCAGGATGTCTCCAATTTGATCCCCAAATGAGTGTCATTCGTGAGAAGAGCGATAATTTCCCGGCAATCCGGCAGCATCTCCACGTGTCGCCTCACGGACGGCAATCGACGGATGTTCTCGCAATCTTCGTGCTTCTGCAGAATTGTCTGAACATCCACACTAGTCGCCAGGCTGTAGATCTTTCCCTGCGAGAAGTGCTCCAGAAGGCAAAATTTCAGTCCCTGCACGAAGCCACTGACAGAGAAGTCGTAGAAGAGAAACTTCTCAACGAGGAACTGCAGAACGCGACCGGAAAGGTGGATTTTCTCCCTCAGAATCACACTCTCGACGATATTATTGAGAATCACCACGGACGACTGTGTCTGGAAGACGTGGAACTTGGCCCTGGTGGTGAACTTCAGCGGCAGGAGTTGCTCCAGGGCGGAAACAGAAGTGGCCACACCGAAGAGCAGCACCAGAGGCAGTTGGGAGCGATAGCTGGCGAGAATGGTCACCAAGTCGCGCAATGTGGCTTTGCAGAAGAGCTCAAAGTCCGGAATGACCACGGCCAGGGTGGTTTTGATGCCTCTGTGCTCCAAAAAAGCCCCACAGAGACTCCTCATGGTACAGTTCTGCTTCCGGATTTCAGCTTCCTGAAACTGCTGAATGAATCCTCCCACCAGCGTCTCAATAGCCACCTTCACGCTGGTGGCTTCTGTGGACGTGAGGACGACTGAGCAGAGCTTGTCCTGATCGGAAATCTTGTCAGAGAGACGCTGAAACATGCTCAGATGATCCGGCTGATTGATGCCCGTTTGCAGAACAATCACTGGAAAAAGGTAGCTGTAGGCACTCGAACTCGTTCCCACGACACACTCCAACACACTCTCCATGACTCGTGAGTAGTTTTCCCTCAGAATATTCTGCAAATTCAAGAAGAATCCTGAAGAATTGCCCAGTGAAACATGAAAACTCTCCCTAACCTCAATCTTGCTGTGGATTCTCTGCCAGGTTTCTTGATATGCACGATACCAGGGACTGGCCAGGATGTCTTGTGGAAGAATAGAGTCCTGCGTCGCAATTGAGGGGCGCTTCTTGCCACCAGACTTCCTGGGCGGCCGCACAGAAGCATTTTTGTATACAAAACAACCCTGAAGAGAAACAACCATATTTTACCTCATTTCACTAAAGAACACAAAATTCTCCAACTCGCCTTGGAAACTGAGACATCCGGCTCCATTCTTCAGGTGAAAAACACAAATCTTCACTGGTAAATCGACAAAAAAACCGAAGAAAAACAAAGCTGCCCGGAAAACACACTTTTTAGCGGGAATTCACAAAACGTCAACTGATCGATACAATCTCGACACTGATCGACACGACTGAAGATTTAAAAAATACCAGAAAATTGCAAGGAAAATTAGAAAATTGACTATTTATTTACATTTACGCTTCTTCCGCTTTATAAACACCGTGACAACACCATTATTATTTGATTCGATCGTGTAGTCAGAATTCCCGAGATTTATGCTCTTATTTTGAGGAAATTCTTCAGGATCCTTTAGTGATTCAGGTTTCGTGGGAAGATCCTTAGTTCCCTTTGGAGTTTCTGGAATTGCAGACTTTTCCTGAACATCTGAAAGCATTGTCGATACTTTCTGTTCAACGCCTTGATCATCTTGGCCATTCTTCTCCTCAGAAGTCGAGGAATTCTCAACAATGACACTCGTGTCTTCACTTTTCTTGACCACTTGTTGAACATTTTCATCCTTTGGCACTTCTTTCGTAGTCTTCACTGTCTTTTCCGCAGTCTTTTCCGTCTTTGCGGTCCTTTCTCTGGATTTTCGATCACTTCTTGTGTCCCTTTTATCGATTCTGCGCTCCCGACTTGAATCCCTGCGCCTGTAACGATTCCTGTCTCTAGATAAACTTCTGGGCCTGCTTCTGCGCTTCTTGGAGCTACTGTGTGCATCCCTGTCGCTGCCATCGTGCCTCCTCTTGTAACCCTGATCCTGATGAAGGCTTTCCTTGAATCTGTCATAGCGATTTGATCTGCCATCTGGCTTCAAATCCGTCTGAGTCGACTTGGACACTTTCTCAGAAGCCTGAGACCTCATCTTATTCCTCCGGAAGGCCAAATCGTCGAAATCCCTTCTCAGCTGGGCAATGGTACCATCCTTCCGCTTGACTTCCGCCCGGACAGTCGCAAGAAGGATCGAGAAATTCTTCTTTATCGTTGAATTCACCGCCTTTGTATGTCTGTTCACAGCTTCAGACGCTTCCAAGGATTTCACAATCTCACTGTGTTTCTTTTGCAACACCTCCAGTTCTTCCGCAGTCTGTAAAATACAGGAAAACTTTTGTATTTAAACACGAATTTTCAAAAGTGAGGTTGTGATTCACCTGTTTCAGCTTCACAGAAGCATCGAAATCGTTCAGATCACCATAAATATCAAACTTATCCTCCTCAGTCATCCTTCTGTCTCCTTATAACACTAATTTCACATAAAAACTGCGAAAAATTGACGAAAAACGAGAAAAACCCGTGGCGTTGCTGCCACAATAAAAACATCAACAATGCACACTTGACAAGTTTCTTCACAGCGCGTGAAACCGTTCAAAATCCACTGTGAATGGCGGGAAATCCTTCAGGCCATCAGGAAAAGTCCTCTTCGCGATAAAAAATACAGCACGTTTATTTTGGGTACCCTACGCAACACAATGACTTGCTTTAAGCGAATAAATAATCGAGGCGCGTCTGGGCGATCCTTCTACACAGTTATCAGCTTCCCGGAACAGCAGGAGCAATGATGGACAACTCCCGGAGGCACCACGAGGTTGCTGGTGTTCAGATTGTTGGTCTTTATCTCTGACAGGAGGGAGAGAATCCTCTCCGCTGTCTCTCCTGACTCTGCCTCACTGGTTATCTGTGGCACTTTCGGCACTTCCTGCCCATCATCGGAACTCTTCTCCCTCTCCTCCTCATCCGTGGCCAGGGAATCACCATTCAGCGCCCCCTTCACCTCTGCGGGAATGTCTATATTCTTCTGTCGCAACAGCAACTCCACCAAGCCATTGAGCTCCATAAGCTTCTGCTTCATCTCCTCGCGATCCGCCGCAATCCGCTGCACCTGGACGTCCTTCTCGATCTCTCGCTGCTTCAGCAACTGCCTCTGGGTCTGGTACAGTGTCACATACTCACCGATCGTCTCTGTCTCACCCTGCAACTGCGTCACAAGGTGCTCCAGGCGCTGCTTCTCCTCCGTCAAGTCCGCAATGTCGTTCATTGTGCGTCGGAAGCGCTCCTCCAGTCTGTGCATGGCTTCTTCCGTGGGCAGCACGTCCACCACCTCCACCACACCATTCTCCAGAGGCTCTACCACCTTCTCAACCACCGCATCAACCTCTTCCCGCTCCACTGGCTCTTCTGGACTCCGCTCCTCCTTCAATTGCCTTACAGTCGCCTCCAGATGAGAGATCTTCTCGCGCTGGCGCTGCACCTCGATCTGCAGCACATTGCTAGTCTGCTGGCCCATCTCACAGTGCCGAAGTCTGTCCAGCTCCTGGTTCTGCAGCAGCGTCTTCTTCTCTAGCTCCGAGTTCTCGTGCGACAGCCTCATCATCTCCTCGTCCTTGAAGTGGAGCTTCTCCCTCAATCCGCCCACTTCCTCCTCCCAGCCATCGAGCTTGGAGCGCATCTCGCGGCCCAGATGCTGTTCAGACTGCAGCTGATCCATCAGCGACGCTTTGTCGTGCGTCATCTGCACGTAAGCTGTCTGCATCTCCTCCAGCTGCGACTTCAGCTCCATATTCTGGGACACAGCTCGTGCTGCCGCCACTTTCTCACTCTCCAACGTGGCGCTGAGAGTGGACGGATCCACGAATGACACCTCCAGTCGCTCAACCTTCATCTCTAGTTCAGAGATTGTGGTCAGCTTTGCCTTCAGCGCCGCTTCAGCCTTGGCTTTTCCCTCCTCAGCGCTCTCCAAAACGACCTGGAATGCATTGGCAGAGGATTAAGATGAGAAACGACCAATCATTTGTCAACTTACCTTGAGATGTTCCCCTTCTTGCTGAATCCTCTGCAAATCCTCCTCCAATTGCCTCAACTTCTTCTCACTTTCAGCACCTTGAGCGATCTCTTGGGCAGTATTGTGAGCCTGTGGCTGCGCAATTTGCGCTTGAAGTTGCCTCTCGAGCTCACCCACGTGCTTCACCAACTCCGCCTCCCTTCGGGACAGCTGATCCCTCTCCTGGCTCGTCTCCTGCAGCTTCTGCACCAGCTTCGCACTCTCCCGGTTGAGTTGCGTCACGTAGTTCTGATATTGCGTGGCCGCCTGATCACGATCTGTCGATATCTTCTCCACTTGTGTCAACAATTCGCCCACCTGCTGCTCCAGCATCATCCTCTGCTTCGCCATGCCGTCGATCTTGGCGTCCGCCGCTCCCGTGTCGCCCGCCGACAGCTGCTCCACGCGTAGCTGCGCCAGAGCCAGCTCGGAATCGCGCACCTTCAGCATCTCCACCAAATCTGCATACTCCCTGGTCTTCAGATTCAGCTTCTGGGCGGCCTGAGACGCCTCCTCGGCCAGATCGTCACACTTCTCCGCAAGATGTTGCATCTTCTCCCTCGCGGTTTCGTTCTCCGAGCACAGATTCTGCTGCGAGTGCTCAAATCTGGCCAGCGCCTCGCGTAGATGTGACGATTCCACCTTGAAGTCCTGCACTTGATGACGAGAGGCGCTCAATTTCGCCTGCAACTCCTCGATTTCCTGATCTCTCTCACGCACAAGGTTCTGATAGGTGGTCAAGCTGCTCACCAAGTCCGCCTTCTCACTCACCAGAAGGTTCAGCGCCTGCATGTGGGAGTGCAGTTGATCCCTGAGCTGTGTCAACTCCTCCACCGAGGGTCCGGAAGACGCTCTTAAGTCCTGAAGCTCCTTCTTCATCGACTCAATGACTATCATTTGCTCTCTCACAATGCCCTCCAGCTGCATGATGCGCACCTTCTCGCCGTCCAGCAGGGAGAACAGCTCATCCTTCAGACTCTCCCTGTGAGGCGGTGTCTTTCGCTGTTCCGGTCTGGCCAGAGGAGGCAGAGGAATCGTCTCGACCGCCTTCTCGACCACAAATTCCTCCACCGCAACCGCCGCGACCTCCGGCAGGGAAGCTCTGTCCTCAGATCCATTCTCTGATGCGGGCGCTTGCTCAATACATCCCTCGATGTCCTCAGTTTTTGGCTTCTTCTGCTTCGACTGGAACTTCTTGAGCTGAAAAGAGGCACAATTGACAGGTTTCAACCTCAGACGTGGACGGGAAGTGTCAACACAGATTTTCACATGGCTTTTCCCGGCAAACCACATTGGCAGCCACTCAAGTACCTTCTTTTTCCCATCGGCGAGCTTCTCAGCCTTGCTTCTACTGTCCGACATGGTGAGGAATGCGGGAAGAGCCCGTGAAAAGCCCGAAAATCATGAGACACGAAATCACTGGAAAATTGCAAAACAACACACGCACGCCAACTGCCGGATTTTGATGGAATTTCCATTGACGTTTTGTGTTTTTTTTTCTTCGGGGTGCAAAATTTTCTCGGCGTCGCACGCTTTTTCGCATTTTCCACTGAAAATATGTGATAAACAATGGCCTCATCGTCTAACGGAAATGGTAATCTGCTCGATGAGTTTGAGGAGTCGTTCCAGGTGAGCGGGAAATGTGGGATATTTGAAGGGGTTTAGGCGTGATTCCGGGTCTTTTGTTCTAGGCGTGCCTCCACGCTTTGGCCAAAGACGAGCCTACGACGGAAATTGACAAGGAGGCCCTCAAACTGGAAGTCGACCAGACCACCATGAAGTTCATCCACCTGGCCAGACAGATGGAGGCCTTCTTCCTGCAGAAGCGCTTCCTCCTGTCGGCACTGAAGCCCGAATTGGTGCTGAAGGAGGAGAATCTGGACTTGCGCTACGAGATCCAGCGCAAGGACGAGCTAATCAGGAAGCACTACGAGAAGATCGACCAGTGGAAGGCCCTCCTCATGGATCAGCAGCCAGTGAGTGAGGGCGATTGTCTTCCCCGTGAAAGTCTCACGCACCCTCTTTTCCCAGATCCCATCTCAGGCCTCAGGTGGAATGCAGGCATCGAGTGACATGCGATCGATGCAAAGCGTGACAGCGGGACCCATGATGGGCGGCGGAGGGCCCGGCGGCGGCGGAATGATGCCCCAGGGACCACCAGGCGGCATGGGACTGCCCGGAATGTCCGGACCAATGCAGGTAAGCTCGCTCTCTCTGTCTCTCTCTCCTCAGTCTCGCCACTTTTCTCTTGCATTATTTCTCTGTGACTCCCGGAAATGCGCCCGCCCCTCTGGCCATCTCCTCGCTCGCTCTCCTCCTCTCTTCGCGCCATATAACCAATTCTTTGTGCTCTGATAACGAACCAATCACACACACACACGATAAAAGGCATCCCTTCAGGCGCAGCAGTACATGCAACAGCAACAGATGCAGCAAATGCAAATGCAGGTGAATTTGAAGAAAATTTTCAAGCACTTTTCATGCACAGAAATCCCTTTACATTTTTTTTCACCTTTCTCACCATGCCAAGGATTTTCTTTCTTTCTTTCTTTTATATTCCAGCCTGAGATGCATTTTTTTATTTTGTTGCTTACTTTTCGTTGTCCTTTCTTTTACAGTCCTTCAACAAGTTAGTAAAGCGATAGAAGTCAGGAGGAAAAGATTGGGATTTTTTTCTTTTTGAAATATATATATATATATAAAAACCATGTTGAGAAAGTGTTGAAGTTATAGTTTAATGTTACGAAAGTTTGTCTATTTTTTTGTTACTTTTCACACAACAATATGAAGCATAATTTGGTCGGAAAGGATTGTCAACTATTGGAGAGTTTCAATTAAAGTATTTTATTTAATTCCAAGAAGGTGCTTTTTATTTGATATCCCGTCACTTTAAGGGATGTGCCATAACTTAAGTCACACAGTGCTGGGAATTTGTCAAAAATAGTCAAACTTCTTTAGTTAGGCAGCAAAAATTTTCTCATGCATTCATTAGACAGTTTGTTATAGTTGCTTTAAAGCCTTTTTCAATCTAAGAACTTCCTTATTTTCTAGCTGTAACAATTTATTGCTTGATTATGTCTAGAAATTCGTTATGCTTTCACATGATGGGCGGGACAATTGAGTGGGCGGTGCTTCGGAGAAGAATTTTCAGCAAATTTACATGTTTAACTAAAGGAGTTATGAAAGTTGATTGTCATATTTACTGTTGATTTATCTATAGCAAGGCACTTGTGGCACATCCCTGACCACTTCCCGCTTCCTCCCAGTCCACAGACAGTCGCTTGCTGGCGTCTCAATGGCACTCTTGTTGGCTCTTGTAGGTCGGCGGTCCGCAAATGTACATGCAACAAGGTGGACCGGTGCCGTCGCGCGGCGCCTTCAATCAGGCCCCGAATGTGCTGCAGGGCCCGCTGGCGTACTTGGAGAAGACCACGAGCAACATAGGTGAGACGCTGCTGGCCTAGATCCTTGCCGCCCGATCGCTCACCACTCTCTTTGTCCGTTTGCAGACATGGTGGGAATGGGGGACGCAAGGAGGTGACGGGGGCGGGGGAGGGGGCGCGGCCGTGGCAGAGGACGCGGAAGAGGCAGAGGGAGAGGCGCCCCCGAGTTTCACGGCAGTCCATTGTCCTAGGAGAGAGCCACAACACCTCCTTCCAGTTCGTCTGCACTCGCAAAATTTACCACTGATCTCAGAATCGAAATCACACGATACTCAGTATTCTTAGGGTCTTACTTTAGCCAACGCTGTGGGTTTAAATAATTTAGCCAGTAATCTCACGATCTCACTCCTTTTTTTTTCATCACAATCTTTCCACATCACAATCGAGGTGCGCTCGCGCTGACTAGGGCAAAGAAAATGGACGGACAAAAGCACTATTACTAAACACTTGATGTTACAAAATGTGTAAGTTGTAAAAGATATTGGAGAAACGATAATCCGCTGTGAAGCGACCAACCCCGCTAAATTGGAGGCCACTTGTGAGTGACATCCGGAAACAGAGAAATCCTCCCCACACCACCATCAACTTCGAACAAGAATCCACACATCCTTCTTCTTCGTTTCTCTGTGCTCGAGACCCCACGACTCAGCATAAGTCCGGAAGATCACGAGGATCGCCTGATCTTCCATTCCGGAAAGCCATGCAGTCTCGAGAGAAAAAAAAACTTTATTTCTTGTAATGATTGAAAACAATAAAAAAAAAAACACCTTTTCCACTGTACGAGAATAAATGCATAAAAATCAACAAATTACAGGAGAGAAAAACACTGTTTTTTCTTCGTCACGCTCATCATCCATTATCGTATCTGCAATTATGGAGAACAAATTGGAACGAACTTCTGTTTCTAATCATACGAATCTGGTGATGGCTTGAGACATTGTAACTTAAGATTGGGAGACTTCAAAAGTGAGTATAAAATTATAGAAGAGCTGAAAATGACACCTAAGAAAAGAACTTGTAACTTTATAAAATTCAAAAGTAGGTCATAAACCAAGACGAAGAGCCTGAAATAAGAAGAAAAATACGATTTCAAGTCTAAAAGAACACGCGAAAAAGATAATTGAAGATTTTACAATGAAATCTTCTGTACAAAAGCCATTTCCGAATGTTCAATTCTGCTTGAACTCACGAAAGAACACATCATCAAATTTCATTTACAATTCTTTATTGATCAACTTTACTCACTGGTATTTTTACCTTATCAAAAGAGGAAAAAAAAAAGCTGGATAAATGCAGATACGACAACTTGTGATGCACTAAACGCAATTCTACGAAAGATAAAAATCAAATAACATTGGATACCTGATTGGGTGGAAGCGGAAGAGGCTCACTGGGGCATTCTTTGGACAATGGCACTAACATCCAATGGGCTGAGGTAGTTTCCTCCATCTTCCCGGCGCCCCAGACAGGCTCACAAGGCCGCCTCGCGGTGAATGAACTCCACAATCGTCCGCACAGGACGCCCGGTCATGCCCTTCTCCACCAAGTACGGCTGATCGTCGCAGCCGTTCATCACGCCCGCGATGTCCAGGTGCATCCACGGCACGCTCTTCGGCACGAACTCGCGCAGGAAGGCCGCGGCGGTGCACGAGCCGGCGCCCGACACTTTGCCCAGATTGTTGATGTCGTAGCCCGAGTAGTCAGTCATGTTGGTGTTGTAGTGCTTGAAGATGGGCATCCGCCACACGCGGTCACCCGTCTTGGCGCCGGCGCCCGCCAGATGACTGTACAACTCGTCGCTGGTGCTGAAAGCTCCCGTCACACAGAATCCCAGCGCCACGCGAATGGCGCCCGTCAGCGTGGCCAGATCCACGATGTAGCGCGGCGAGAAGCGCTCGGCATAGCACAGAGCATCGGCCAGAATCAGGCGTCCCTCGGCGTCTGTGTTATCAATGCAAATCGACTTGCCGTTCATTGCCCTCACCACGTCTCCGGGCTTGTTGGCTCTGCCGTTGGGCAGATTCTCGCACAGCGGCACCAGACCCTTCACATTCACCTTGGCCTTCAGCTCGGCCAGGGCGGCAATGGTGCCCACCACCACGCTTCCGCCGCCCATGTCGGCGCGCATCTCGTCCATCTTGCTGGCCGCCTTGATGCTGATGCCACCACTGTCGAACGTGATGCCCTTCCCCACCAGGCACAGCGGTTTCTGGTCCGCCGCGGCGCCTTGGTAGGTCATCTCGAGGAACACCGGCGGCTCATCGCTGCCCTTGGACACGGACAAGAAGGACTCCATGCCCAGACCTTGCGCCCACGCCTTGTCGTGCGCCACCACCTGCACGCCCAGCGGCGATAACTTCTTCGTCACCTCCTCAGCGAAGATCGTGGGCGTCATGAGATTGGCCGGCGTCTCCATCAGCAAGCGACTCCAGTTCTGCGCTCTGGCCACCACTTCACCGCGCCGGAAGTCATCAGCGCCTGAGCACTCCTGAGCCAGGCTCACCTTGGCCACCGTCTTCCTCGCCTCCAGCTTCTTGTACTCCTGGAAGCGATATGCGGCGAGCGTTGCTCCCTCGGCGGCCGCCTCGGCTTGTCCACCAAAGTCCTCAACATCCACATGAGCGACCTTCTCAGCGGTCAACGCCTTCACGCCCGCGCCCGCGGCGATTCGCACATTCTCCCGCACACCATCCAGACCGTCCAGGACATCCCAGGCGGCGGCGTCTCCCAATCCAGCAACAGCCACGATCGGATACTTGGGACTGGAGTTCCACAGGAGCCGCGTTTGCCCCACTTTCAAGGGCCCAGCGCTGAAAGACGATAGGAGGTAAATATATCAGATTAATCCATTATTAGATATGATTACGTCCAATCCACTCAATTGACTATTACACTACTCATGCCCAAGAGGCATGTTTGCCCATTGATAAAATCGTCTTCTCCCTAACACTATGAGCATTATCATGTGGAGTGTCACAAATAAGCTCATATCTCGCTCTTTTTCTTCTGTATTTGTAATCACAAGTTTCAGGCCCGCAGCGGAATTCTCTCTTGTTCAGCTGAAAGCGTGCATGAAGAATGCGAAAGCCCAGTTCTCTCCTGGCATGACTTTGACATTCCCAATATCTCTCTCCGGGGATGAGATGACAACTTTTCGCGGCAGTCTTCTTCCTGGTCTCGTGGCGCGATGAAGGTGGTAGTGATTGGAGCGGGAACGGGTGGCCTGTGCGCGGCCAAGAACAGCCTCCAGGCCGGCCTGGAGGTGACGGTGTTCGAGCAAACGGGCGAAATCGGCGGCACTTGGGTCTTCCGCGACGAAGTGGGCAAGGATGAGTTCGGCCTGGACATCCACTCGTCCATGTATCGTGGCCTCAAGACGAATCTGCCCAAGGAAATCATGGGATTCCCGGACTTTCACATGACTGGCGGCGAGCAGTCTTTCGTCACAGCCAAGGAAGTCCTCGATTGGCATCACGAGTACGCTGATCACTTCGACTTGAGGTGAGACTGAAGGATTCCGATAGATTCATTCGTGTCTGCTTTTATTACATCCAAAATTTCACAAGATATTCGACTTGTAAAAATGTGGATTTTTATCAAGCTAATGAAATCCATTCAAAAGTGCTGATAAGACACAAATAAGAATTAGACACTATACTAATTCACTGTTTGTGTGTGTGTTAGGATTTGATGCTAAATCAATATTGTAACATTTAACGTGATCAAGATAATTTTCGCCTATTGTAGTCTTGTTCAATTGTTTTCTAGATATAAATAAGGCATAAACTCAAGTATTAAACCATTCATATTTCAAGGAAATGGATCAAATTCTATCACAACGTCGTTCGCGTGAAGCCCCACGGAGAGTCCCAGTGGGAAGTCCTGGTGAAGGATCTCAAGCAAAATTCCTACTCCACGACCATCTTCGACGCAGTGTTCATCTGCAATGGCCACTACAGCGCCCCATCCACGCCCAACTTCCCCGGCCGGAAGCTCTTCCGTGGCCGCCAGATGCACAGCCACGACTATCGCTCGGCGGACGTGTTCCGCGGCGAGCGCGTGCTCGTGATCGGCGCCGGTCCGAGTGGCATGGACATCACCAACGACGCCGGCACGGTGGCCGAGATCGTGGTGCAGTGTCATCACTGGCAGGAGCCGCCCAACGTCCCGTTCCCCAGCAATGTCACACAGAAGATCGCCGACGTGGTGCGCCTCACCGAGGACGGCGCCGTCTTCAGTGACGGCTCAACGGAATCCTTCACACTGATCGTCTACTGCACTGGCTACAAGTTCACATTCCCATTCCTGAGCGTGGACTGTGGCATTCACGTGCAGCAGAACTACATTTCGCCACTGTATCAGCACTGCCTCAACATCAATCGCCCCACGATGGCCTTCATCGGGATCTGCAACTATGTCATTCCGCAGCGAATGATGGACTTGCAGATCCGCTTCTTCCTCAAGTTCCTCACAGGCGGCAAGGAATTGCCGTCGCGCGCGGAAATGCTGGCCAGTGAGAAGTACGAAATCACGCGACGCCTCGAGCAGGGCATCAGCCTGAGGAAGGCCCACTTCATGGGTCCAGATCAAGGAAAGTACTTCGAGACCCTGGCCAAGATCGCTGACATCACACCCATTCCGCCTGTCTTTGCCACTGTTCACACGGCAGTTTGCGCTCTGATCCGCAGCGATATCAGAAACTTCCGCCGCCACAACTATCGCATCATCGATGATCACTCCTTCGAGCGATTGACGTGATGTCCTTCGAAAACACACACACACAGACAGACAGGTTTGGCTAATCTACAAACATTTATATGCACATCTTCTTTAGAACAATATTTTTGCCATTAAAGTCACAGAAAAATATATTTTTTAAACTTTCTTTCCTCTCAATAACAATGGGTTTCACTGTGTTAACTCGTTATCTTTTATATATTACCATAATATATTCCTCTTTTTTTATTCCACACTATTTGTTCAAGGAAAATTTCTAACACTACACACGATTAGTTTGAAGTGTTCTTCTTCTACACTTTGTCATCTTCTAATGCCTTTTATTTTTGTCTCTTATCAATAAAACTACTTTCAATTATTACGTTCTGTCTTTAGCACCAAACAAAGGTTTCCGGATCAACAACAATTTTTTTATGCTTTCTACATAAGAAAATCCGTTTGGCACAATTCGAAAAAGTTTTCTACGCTATAATTTCAAGCTAAAATACACTTTCTATTGCTCTACAAGTTGAAATTTATTATTTTTTTTCTTTTACTCTTTTGCTTTCAAATTCCCTTTTAGCATATGTGCTGTTGTCAGAAGATTCCCCCAGTCAAAATGCCTTGACACCTTAAGATATAAACCTGAAATTCATGAGGTTTTTTCCGGTGTGTCATTTGTGTTGTTGAAGATGCTAATTAAGTATAGAGAATGGACAAAAACTTAGCCTAAAAATACTTTGAAAACTACACAATATTGAAGACGGGCATTCGAGGAAGCTGCACGATTGCTGTATCACAAGGAATCATCTACACTAGCTCTAGAATCTTCACAATGCCCCTGCTGTTGGCCACCACCATCACGTTGCACTGCTTGCGCCAGCACACCGCCGACACGAACTCATTGAGATCCGACCCTGACTGATCAATGCTGCTGGGCCGATCGATCTTCATACTGAACAGCGGCTTCGGCAGCCCCTTGTAGTACACATACAGCGAAATGTCCTCGCTGCCGCACGCAATGTACTCCCCATCCGTCGCCAGGCCCACGAAGTTCTTCTCATTCATGTGACCCACGTACGAGCGAATGGAATAGGGCGGAGAGTTGACATTCCACAATCTCAGGCGACTGTCCGTGCTGGCGGACACAATCTCCTGGTCATTGAGGAACTTCACATACGACACGGCCTTCTGGTGGCCCGTGAACACGCACAGTGGCTTCGTGGTGTGCCTCAAATCGTAATAGTGCACACAATGATCAGCCGACCCGAATGCAATGTGGCAAGAGCTCTTGGGATTGAATTTCACACAGCAAATGTTCGCCTTTGTGTCCAGTGTGGCCACAGAATTGTTCGCCAACAGTGACCAGAGCTTCATCCGTCCATCATCCGATCCTGACGCCACAAGACGCGAGTCCACATTATTAAAATCCACACTCCAGCACCGCTTGTCGTGCTCCTGGAAGAATTTCGTCCTCTGTCCCGTCACTGCATCCCAAATTGTCACTGTGCCATCATAATCACTGCTCGCCAGGATGTTCTTGTGATACGAATTCCACACCACACACGAAATCTTGCTGTTCGACACCATCTCCACCACGGGATAGTGAATGTCCACAACATCCCTGATCACGGCCAGATAGTCATACACTTTGATCCTCTTCGTCACGCCAGCAATGGCGAAATACTCATTGTCTTTGTCAAACTCAATTCCCGACACAATCGATCCATTCGACAGATCCGACGAATAGCCAAGCGTGGCCAAAGTCTTGCACGAGCTGTACCGCGAGAACTTCACCAGACTCTCACGAAAAGCATCCAATCCACGCCTTGAGCTCACGGACAATCTCATATTGTCATTATCGTCACTCCCAGTCGCACCGCTGAAGTACAAATCCTGCCCGCGCGCCTGAAAGTAGCAATTGACAAAGTCATCGAAGTACGTGTGCATCCGACGCTTCCGGATGGTGAAAGTCGACGTGACATCATTGTTGAACGAGTTGAAGCCATCTCCGGCATTCTCTGGCTTCTCCTCCTCAACACCCGGCAGCTCTGGCACTTGCTGCTTCTCCCCTTCGCTCTGCTCGAGTGTCTGCTCGACATCCTGCACTGGAGCTGGCATCTCTTCCTGCCCACTGGCCACCAGCAGATTCCTCCTCTCCTTGAGCACGCACTCCACTTCGTGCAAATCCCTCGAAATCAGGTCAATCTCCTTGGCAATCTGCGCCTTCTGGTCCTCCTTCTGCTTCAGCAGATGCCGGAGGAACTCGTACAGCAGCCTATTCTGCGCCACACACGTCTCCGTCTCCAAGATTTGGCGCCGATGCGACAGAATCTCCAGCATCACATCCACGTCGGACAGCGACAAGTTCTGCGAATCCCTGGCAATCAGGTCCTTCAGTTTGTTGGCATCCTTCACCGCCGTGTCGCCCATCAGCTGCTCATTCGTCGCCAGTCGCAGTCGCTGCTTTGCCACCAATTCATTGAGCAGGAAATTGGGAAAGATCAACTCCTGCGTGGGCAATGCGAAGCAGCACTTCGGACACCTCTTCGTGCTCTCGATGCTCTTCACAATGCACTGATAGCAAAATGTGTGGCCGCACTTGGTGATGTGCGCCTCGGAGATCATCTCAAAGCAAATCGGACAGAGAAGATCGCTGTTCTTCTCCTCCATCGTCGAACTGATCCCACTTAAAGCAGTCAAGCGGCGCGACGCTCCGCCACTGGAGCCCCCAGAATCCGCCATGGAGTCCACAATATTCCGTCGAGACATTCTCTCTCTCTCTCTTTCTCACTCTTTTTTTTTCTTTCTGTTTTCAACCCGTTTTCTCTCTAATTCGCAGTCGATCTGAAACAAAAAGTGCCATTCTGAGATTCTCTATCTTACATTATTGCTTCTTTCATTTTTTATTTTTGTTTTAACACAAAACAGAGCAAAGAAAATTTTATGTACAGAAAGAGACAAGATAGCGAAAATATAGAAAAATTCTACCAACAAAAATCTCTCGGGCAAAAAATTGTTTCAGGTCAACTGACAAAAATGTTTGCTGTCTTTTGGCGTGAAAATCTTCAAGTACAAGCTTCAAACAATCGTCCAGAGAGTCTTCTTATCACCACACGTCATGATAACACCAGTCAGAGAAGTCAAATTCATCATAAATCTTCACCTATTGCAAAATATTTTAAGCAACTTTGCTTTATAAAACATCCAGAAGATTTAGCAACAAAATCTCATGGGAAACTTTAGTGAATGTAGAAAGTTGATAAGCTCCACCCACGCGGAAGACACACCCAAAGTAATTTCTCATCTAACACCAAATTTGTTTCAATGTTATGAATGCTTTTATGGATGCCAGATTAAAATGAGATAAATAGTGAATTTTCCGTATATTCAGAGTAAACAAAGTTAAGAAGTTTCTTTTTATTCTTTTTCAAAATAACAATCAAAGAAAGATTCAACATTTTTCTCTGATAACATTATTAACCTCTTATCTTAAGAGGTTCATAAAATGTGACCCCATTTTTAATCGATTCCCACGGAATTTCATCGAAACGCCCAAAATTCAGGGGATAAGGCGGAAAACCACATTTAATCAGCACATTTCCTTATACATTTCCTCTCCCGAGCACCGCAAAACCACGATAAAAAGCCCTCTCTATGAGGATATGCCAGAAAATGCCCCGAAATGCCCAAAATTTTTACTCACACATTGATCTGCTCGAGTAGTTTTCCGGATGTCACTTGATCGTTGAATTTCTGGCCAAATGGCGTTAAGCGGTTGACTTTCTCGTTCTCAGAGGCATAAGCACCCAACACAAGACCACGCTATGCCGCAAGAATGCAGGAAAGATAAGAATTTCAGTTGCATAATCCGGGAGACTCCGCCCCCATCAGAGCAGAAGCAAGTGCGCAATTGTGGTACTTACTAGTTCAGACATTGAGCTGTAGGACCTTCCGCGCGACACGACACAAGAGTATCTGGCCAGGAGCACTCTAAATATTGCCATTCTGATAAGCACTCATGATAAAATATATTTTTTCACTCACACACTCGCCACCTGACAACGTCGAGCAGAATCGATGAGTCGATGACAGCGCCACGCGGTGTTGCCACATGGGAGTGGTGAATTTCTCTATTTTGGTTTTCGCTGTCATTTCTGCCACTTCTGGAAGAGAAATTGGCGAAAAAACAATCCCGGAGGGTAAAATAGGAGCAAGATCTTATTGAAATTTCCTAACGACAGTGTAAGCTGCACTAAGAAGTGAGGAGCTGAGCGGAATATTGTATTCCTGGTTGTTTATCCATTGTTATGTAATGATTCCAGGTTATGGCCGCTTCACCGTACGGGAGAGGACTTATAGGGCTCATCAAGCAAGGCTGCCATGAGATTCCCGAGGTGATGGGTGCCTCTGCTCTGGGCATAGTAAGCATGTGCATTGGCTTCGGTGCATTGTACAAATATTACCAGAAAGACGGCGACAATCGCCGATACAAGTTCGATTACGTTATCATGCGCTCTGATGATCCGCGGGCAGCTCGAGTCCACAAAGATTGATCTCCCTCAGGAGAATCCGTGTAATTTAGATAAACAAATGCAGTGAACTGTACAAAATGTGTTTTAGGATGAATTCTTCTTCTTCAACTCTTCAATGGTTTCCTGTAAGAGTTTTCTGCTGGTTGGATCGTCTGCCCAAAACTTCTGTCTCTCTGCTTCCATGTCTGGGAAGAGTTTTTCTCTGCAATTCATGGGAAATGTAAATAAAACACAGGAAAATACTAGTTTCACAAGGTATAGAACCTGTAGCTCAAACCAACGGCTGCAAATGCCAGGAAGCTGCCAAAGAGTACGGGAAATCTCCAAGTGTTTAAGCCAGGCATTTTCCACAAGAAATTAAGCGCAATTACTCTGAAAATAGCGGAAATTCACGAAAAATCTCCGCCGATTCTTAACCAAACACAATCAATGGTGAAGATGAGAAACTCACCATTCAGTCAGCTGTCAATTTTCGCCGCGTTTTGCCGCAGTCGCGAGAAACTCAATCGTGTATTCACACTTTTCTCCACTGTGGAAGGCATTTTTCCAGCATTTTCCCATCTCCAGTGGCCGCGAGTGTCTCGTGTGTGTTCCCGTGATGGAAATTTGTCCCCATTGATAGAGAAAGTGTGTGAAAATCACGATAAATCAGCGTCCCAACAGTGTTCTGTCCAGTTTTGCCTACATTCGGGAGTTTTCTCCTCTTCAGAACAGCATTTGAAGCACTTCCCAGAAACACTGCGAAGCCCGGAAACTGGGCGGGAAGATCGCCTCCCGATGACCTTCCAGCCTATTCGCTGAACTCTGCATATCTGTGGCGAGAGGTGACCCACCAAGGCCACCTTTGTGCAACAGTATTGATCCGGGAGCCATTTCGCACGCGAGAGGCGTTTGTTGAAGTCACACCGTGAGCTTAGGAACACTTCCTGGTCCTGCTGGACAGCGAACGACAGTGAAAATGTCACAGAATCTCGTACCAGGATCTCCGTCAGTCACCCTGTGAGGCAGTGATCCCGAGAGGGCGCTAGGAAGCCATGGGAGCGGCTCCGAGTCTGGAGGACGATGGAGCGGACGCGGAGGACGATGAAATCATCCCCATGACCAGTGGGAGGCTTTCGGTAAGTGAGAATTCTCAATTTCCTCGAGAGCTCAAGGGCAGTTTGCCAAAAATATATTTCCCGAGGGAGTTTCACCCTAATTAAGAAGAAATACACGGAAAAGTGGGGCAAATTCTCGAGAGAATTTCGGTATATTTAAAGATTTTGGACAGAAATGGGAAAACACTTAACATGTGTTAATAGAATATTGATAAGCAGCTAATCTGTTTAACGCCATAGAAGCGAATCGAAGTGTTTGCAGAACTTATGATATTCCTCAAAAATTATTTTAATGCTGATCTTGACGAACTAAAAGCAGAAATTTAAGCACAGAAGATTTTTTTCTGATAAGTATTCTTGTCTTAACATTGACACACAAAACTTTGTCATATTGAATGTTTGAACTTGTGCCGGAAATCCCTGGGAAATCTCGAACACTATTTGGAATCGTCGGACAAGAAATCATGGTCAGCAAATGATTTTATTGACACTATAAAATTGGTCGGCGAAGCATGAAAAAAACAAGTCAATATTTGACGAATTACACCAAAATATTGTCCTTCTCGTGTGCCATCTGTTGTGGCACTTATCAACCCCTGACAGGGTGGATTTATCGCATAAACAAAATGCACTCAATAATTATTCTGGTTGGAAAATCACTCAATTTCTTGCGTGTGGCTCACTTTTCAGTGGAATCGCGAGACTGTTTAGCCACAATTTCACGGCGGAATTGTATTTGCCAGGGGAATTTGTAATGAGACACTAATTCGCATCTGAGACAATTGTTATTGGCCTGAGTGTGTGCGTGATAAAAATATTTTCTCAGCAAATTTACATGTCAAAAGGAGTTTGTTCGCTGTGGCTAAAGAGTGGCTGGCAATTAATGGCTGATGTGCAGAGGACATGGATCAATCATGTGCGCCTCAGGTAATTGAGCTTTCATGCTTCCTTGTCATTTACCTCCAGCAATTTATCTCCAGCAAGGATGGTGATTGATCAATAGATATTTCCGGACCTATCATTTGCAAAATTGAATCTCTGCCTGCAAGTCCATTCGGCTAATTGACAATGGTCCATTTGCTTCCATGGAAACCAATCCTGCCTTCCACGCAATTCACCTGCAAAAAAAATCTCCTGTTCCTCTGCATTTATGAGCATTTACCATTTGATGAATTGCAGTGAAAGAATTAAGCCGAAATGCAGTGCAACTGCGGTGAATAATTAATGACTATCAATCACAATCAATGGATTTAACGTGAAAATTCTCCCTTTCACAACCTCAATAGCTTCAGAGGCTTTTCAAAGGTATTGTGGCAGTCAATTTGATGCAGAATTCACACCCACTCAAATATATATTAGAATAGAACTCATATTTACAGGCTTTTGTGAGCATTAATTGATGAAATGCCATAAATTTGTACAAGTCCTTTTTAGTTGGCTTTAATGTTATTTAACGCAATTTTTTTAAACACATTTTCACTCATATGAGTCAGAAAATGTTAATTGCAATTTGAATACTGTGAAATTTCATATTTCCTCCCTGCGATCGCATTTAAGTGTCTCATTACTTCCTCTTGTTACCCTCTGTAGCGTGTCCTGAGGGAAATTTCCAATTTTCCATGGCATCAGCAGTAAATTGGGTCGTATGCTGCAACAGGTAGTTCTATATAGATCAAAGGACGCGAGTTGAGGATGCACGGATACACTGTTAGAAACTGCACGGCAATATGAATGGTAAATTGGTGCACTTCGGCTGCCAATTTGCTGGTTGTGTGAGTACACTTGAGCGCGTGTGTTTGGCAAATCCGTTCGCGTCGTTTTTCACCTCTTGTTCACGCCTAAGCGAATGTGAGAGAGGCAGGAGTGAGATGGCGCTAAGAGTGTGGTTACTTGTATGGGTTTTGAATGCAAAATGGTTCGATGTATAAATAAATGATTACCGACACACGAATCGTTAGTGGAAAAGTTCTTTCGCTTGCGGACGTTTCACGACGATCGGATTGAAATTGTGTATAGTGAAGAAAAAAAAGAAGGCACACACAGAGTGTTTGACAAGGGGGATAAAGATTGTGTGTTTGAGGAGAAAATCTTGTGATTTTTATCAGTATCTCAACACGCGGTTCAATAACCGTCGTTGTGTGAATCAATGAGAAAATGTGGCTCAACATATCTGAGAAGATCTCTTGAGGGAAAAATCACAGACATTTTCTGTATGCCAAGACGATTGATTATGTGTTTCTTTGTGTCGACAAGCACACTGTGAAAAATTGTGGGTGCGAACTCTTTGCCAGAGAGACAGAGAACATTCGACAGAACTTCAGCGCAATTCAACAAAGGCGTTGAGCCTTTTTGACAGCGGAGAATTCTGAGAAGAGTCAGTTTTGCGTCGTGTGTGCCGGAGAAGGTTGAAAAAAATCTCGCAAAGGCAGAGAGACAGAGAAAAAGTGCTCAAAACAGCTGTTTAGTGTGTGTTCGTGTTGAGAAACTCTGTGGTAAAACTTCCATTGGCCATTGAGAAAGAAGGTGCGCGAAACCCGCGATTTGGCTGTAGTTGTGAATCGCACCAATTGACCTCGACCAAAATAATAGTGAGGAAAGCGGAGTGAGCATATTCAAAAAGCACGGGTTTTAAACAAAAACCCACAACATTTTTCCCTCTGACAGTCCATTTAAAATATTCATGATAAACAATATTGTTAGCGTCAGACTTATTGGAGAATTTGTATTGTAGAAATATTAACAAGGGACTTGTATGTGATAAAGCCCATCAGAGAGCAGCATGTGTTTGTGAAATACTATGTCTTATCACACACAGCAGTGAAATTCTATTCTTTTGTGCGCGCTTTTCCTTATCTGGGCATAATTTTGACGCGTCTTTGACAGCAGCAAAAATAAAGCGGCGTGCGCGCGCACAATCGTGGAAAACTTTTCATTGCATTGTCAATTCCAAACTAAGAGATATGGCAAAAAGTCGTAAATTTTTGCGCAATGTATTCAAAAGAGGTGTTAAGAAAGGCAAATGAAAGTCTTGGTGAAGAAATCTCATAGGAAATCGTTTAAATATAGCCACTCGGCTTACAATATACTTACAATGTGTGCTAAATGTAAATGACTTGTGAGACTGTGTTTGACACTTTTTTCACATACTAACTGAACGCATAATATGGTGTGGAATGAATCACACAAAAGATGGGAGGAAATGCTTTCATTTGATAAGTCTTGGTTCCGATAAATTGTGCCATACGCACAACTTGATAAGATACGCAGCTGTCTTTGACAGTGTAGTGCCGAAGAGAGGACTTTGACGATTTCTCACAGTGTCTTTTCATAAACTTTCTTTCATCTCGTGTAAAGCATTGCAGGAAAACGGAAGAATTTTTACAATAATTGTGCAGACAAACCACAATTGAGACAAAAATAATATGCAATATTGTAAATTTCACTATTATTCTTTGTTCTCTGGAGACCAAAAAAAAGAAACTGAACGCGCAGAAATAATTCTGAGTATTTTATTTGCAATTAAAATTTTTCCCAATTCCAAAAATTTCTCTTAATTTTCATTGACAATTTAAAAGGTCAATGAGACAAAATGCCATCATATTAAATGAGAGCAAAATTGAATGGCAATTTTTACCTTCTTTGGCTAATCTTTTGCACAAGTCTCCTTTCACGTGTGCCAAGATGAAAATGGTGTGTTTGTAATTTGCAGACAAACACCATGAGAGGCGTATTTAATTTTGGGATTTATTAGCAGATCTTTTTTTCTGGCTTTTCTCTTACACTCCTGCCAAATATTTGCTGTCTGATTGACGTAGGAGTATTTGCTGGTTTCTTTGCAAAAAGAGCCAGAGTGTGCGAATGCTGAGATGATTTTCTTTGGAGTTCAGTTTTTTTTTTGATTTTCTGACCTTCGGAAGTCACTCAAAAGGAGCATACTTGTAACTTCCCATTCAGAGATTCCCAGTGAAAATGGAGGAATTGATCCTTGAGCTTTTCAATTGCACAAATTGCATGCGATTCACCGCTGAGAAGTGTATTTCTATGTGAGGGAAAAATGCTCTGCACATCAATAGGAAAACATTGTGTGAAAATATCTTTTGCGAAAAAGATGTCATCTTGTTGGCATTTTGCAATATGAATATTTTGTTGTGCACAGCATGGAAATCTCTCTGTGTGGGATGGCAAAGAGGGAGAAATGTAAAAAAAAAATGCAAAAATATAGAAGCAAGACGAACGCACTTCACCAACGTGATATTATTTGCATAATTGCTTTGGAATGAGAAGAAGAAAAATGTACAATATTGCGACCAAGTGGAATATCTCAGCGAAAGTATTGCACGTTGAAGTTATTAAGAAAATAAATAAAAATGAAAGGGTTTATCATGAAGAATATGCTTTGCCACTTTATCACTGTGTACTTGTTTACGCAAATTCCTTTTCAGCTATTTGAATATGCACAACTCTTCCACACTAATCTGATTATTATTTTCTGTGGAGTTTCCCGCGGAAGGTCAAGTTTTCAGTGAATTGCGAGCAGTGTGACGCGTAAAAAAAGAGGTTCAAAGACAATAATTTTTATTCATATTTCCTCGTGTGCTGAAAGTGCTGGGAAAAGAATATTCGCATGAAATGTCTTCGATCAATCTGCAGAGAGTTTCAAGTGGAAAATCAATTAACAAGCGTGTACGAAAAATAAGTCGGGTAAGTTATTCAATTCTTACATGAAGAGAGATTTGTACACTTCCAATTGGGCTTGTTTGTCTCATCAATTGGGCATTACATTGGCAAGGTGGCGACGGCAAAAAGTGGAGAAACCACGTGAATATGTGTGGAAATTACACAGTTTATTGCCGAGGGGAGGGGATCAGGTTGTCGAGAGATTCATAAATAAGTCGCCGCTCAAGTGGTCTCTCCGGGGATGGGGGCGCCTGGTAACGTGAGTACTGATATTTCGGGTGAGATTTGCACGTAAAATAATTCGTTATCGGCGTGACAAGGTTGTCCATGAGAGCTGGCAGAGCGACAGCTATTGTCTTTCGCTAAGAATTTATGTCACTGGCACATTTTTAATTATTAAATTCCAATATAAGCTGGCTTTTCATCCATTTCAAATCCATTATTTCAATGTATAGCGATTAATTGCAAATTTTCTGATACAATGGTCAGTTTGTTGTAAGTATTTGATGGTTTATTATAGGGTTCATAAATATGAAAAAAAGCCACAGATGAGAATATTTTATTCACACAGAATTGTCACAATTTTCGGAATTGTATTCCTTGTCTATTTCACTATAAGGAAATATATTGAAAAACTCGGTTTTTCTTACTCTACAAATAACGCGATCATTTTCAACCATTTTTCCATGGCAAAATTGATGTAAAGTGACCATAAATTCAATTTTTTTTATACCCTAATCGAGATTTTACATTCATTTCCAAGTAAAATCAAGAGTTTACAAAGTTTACGATAAGATATTTTGTGAAAATACACTAAAATTCAAAGTTTAGACTTCATTTGATATAAAATCTCAATTTGAAGACAACTTTCATTATCTTCTTTCAGGAACTAATCTTAGTATTCTCAGAATTTTCAAGTTTCTAATTATTCCTTTTCACTTGAATTGGTTTAAATGACAATCCTAATTAATTGTAAACAACTTTGCGCTTATCACTGAGAGTTTTCTGCGAGAATTCTATAGAAAAAGTGTGTCATTCGGTTGAAGACATCAATTGTCGAGATAAAGATTAGCAATTTTCTCATACATGCCCTTTTGAGGCATTGGACTTGTTATCAGTTGAATGTTTTTCTATTATGAGAGTGAAATAGCGAGCAATTCTGTGTATTGTTGAGTGCATTTAACAAATATAATGTTTTTAATATATTTGCAATGTGTTGATAATGACTTCAGGGTTTTCCTAACATGAGAATATCTTGATGTTTTTTTCTTCTCTTCTCTTCACTACAATTTCATTCACAAATATAATGTAATAATTGGCAAATACACATTTCCATTTGCCTCTCTAAATGAAGCTCTCTTTTGAAGTGAGTGCGAGTGGGAAGGAATAGTGTTTGATTGGTCTGCGCGTATCTCACATAAATATTTTCCCATACACAAATGGGAAAAAGATATAACATTACAATTGTATTAGAATTTTCAACTTCATTGGGTATCACAATGTTCTGTGACGAGAGCAACAATATCAGTCGACTTCGGTCATCAGTGCAGGCTTCATTGTGGTCTCTTCCTTGTGATCTCTCGCATTTTTTCATCTTCTCTGCTGTCTTTGCGCTTGAATACAAAGGATTGAGAAATTGTTGTTGTGCGTCGAAGGACGAGGGATAAAACATACCTGCATTTCAAATTTCCATTCGTTGAAATCCTCAATTTTCCATTCGTTGAAATTTCACTGTGCACTTCTGACGTGCGCAATTGCTCTAGACTATCAAAGATGTGAATGTGCAGAGATTTTTCCTGGCTGAAAGTGAACCCAGAAGCATTTTGCCTCTTCATTGGACAGGACTTGACTTGTGGCGCGCAAAAGGAGATCTTTTTTTGTGTGTCAAGTGCAACAAGTTGCTAGAGTGTCGAATACAGGCAGTGTGTTGAGAAGGAAAGCACTTGAAGAAGAGTGTTTCTCTTGTTGAAGAAGTCAGCTGTTGAAGGAAGAAAGAACAACAACAGAAAAAAATGGGCGATAATCTCAAGAATGGGGTAATTATAATTGTAAATTACTTGTGTCTAAACACGGACTTTCCTCATAAATTCCCACATCAAGCATTCACAATCCCAATGAATTCCACTTGTGATTTAGTGACTTGAAAATGTTGCCTCAAGTGATGACAATAAGTCCTCTCCGCACTCCCATTTTATCAATTGTTGTTAATTTAATCGCGTCTCAGAGTGGCTCTTTGCCTCCTCGTGGCGACTTTATTTGCTGAAGTGAATTGTGCAATGCATCATCTCTCTCTCTGCATTTCATATGTATCATCCAAGCAAATTAAAGCGAAATTGTCAGCGTGCGAGGCAATTGTGTGGCACTTTTCACATCAATCGCCACCAGCCAATGAGATCGATAAGTAGCCCTCTAATGAAGAATTTTCTATGATAGCGCAATGATGTGCTTATTGGATTATCCACACTCAAAGTGTTACAAAAAGGACAGCTTAAGCGCGCTCAATATTGAATAGAGTTGGAGGAAATTGCAATTATAGAGTAAAAGATGTGGACTATAAAAATCATATTCAATGGACTGGGTGAGAAAAGCTTTGCAATTAACTCATTCATTTCAAATATATCTCTCCATATCTCTAATTGGAATTGTTAATTTAACAAATTGCAAGGATATTCTTCATCAAACATGTTCAATATTCACTCCAAATCTCAGTGGATTAAGAATCACTGGGAATTTCCAGTGAGTCTTATGAAATTCCCACTTTAATCTTCAGGTGAGAAGAAACATTCGGGATTACGTAGTTCTATGGCAACTTGTACTGATTCTCTAATTGTGCATCGCATAATTATTTCCAACCACTTTCGCAGTGGTTAAACTCCACATGAACTTCTCAGTTTTGAACGAGGAAACCTCTCGAGCTGATAAGATACTTTATCATGCTATCTGTGTAGTAATATGATCCAATCTTGTCTCAATTGGGTCTTACGTGTAAGGCCAAGTGGGTGTCTCTCTTGCATGAAGGGGGAGAAAAAAAAATATTCCGCTCAGGCTTTTCTACCTCTCGAAGGCGCGACGAGTCCGCGGTGTTGCTATGCTAATGATTGATGATCAATAAAAATAACAGTGGGAGAGCAAATCATGCTGCTGATCTCGAGAGTGCGGCTTTTATCACGCGTCTGAGAAATAAGATAAAACATACAAAAGTTTTTGGCTATTTGTGGGATCAATTCTGAACCATTGATTAGATCATTTTTGCGCAAGAAATAGAGGCGCAAAGTGGACAGAGACGTTGTCTAATGGATGCTTCGTTCTATCTTTGGCAGACGGACAGCGAGGTGGCGTGCGAAGAGGCGGCGAGACTCACGGCGGAGCTGCAAGAAGACGCTGCATCACCTGAAGATGAGGAGTCCTGCGAGTACCACGACTTGCCGCCGCCTCCCGACGGAGGGTGAGTAATTCTACCCTAAAAAAACCCCCGAAAATTTTAATGCTAAGCTTTTCTCTTATTTGATATCTAAGTCATATTTTTTATTCTAATTTTCTGTCTGATTTTCAAATGAGACGCTCAAAATTCATTTATTATGACATGTGTAGAATTAAATTCCCAAATTGCGAAAAGCATCATATTCGCCCAAGAGGTGAGAGAAAACAATTCATTATCCCATAATCTCAGTGAATGAACTTTGCTGAGTTACGAGAGAAGATGAAGAGCGCCGTTTATTGCTCCAGCATTCATTAATCTCTATAGCAATTTCCTCAATTTCCTCTGCTATTGCATCTTTGCAGCTACGGCTGGGTCATCGTGTTCGCCTCCTTTATGTGCAACATGATTGTCGACGGCATCGCCTACACCTTTGGCGTCTTCCTCGGCGAATTCGTGTCGCACTTCAACGAGGGAAAGGGCAAGGTGGCATGGGTCGGAAGTTTACTCAGTGGCGTCTATCTCAGTGCTGGTAATGGTCCTATTGATATAGCAAATCTCACTCAATTGTCCCTTGATTCATGCGATGATTTCCCAATCCAGCGAGAGAGTGAGAATATATATCTTCTCAGAAATAGTCCATTAAATCAATCAAGTCCCATTAAAATACTGTTGAAATGATTCAAACTATGATATTTTTATCACTCTGTCTCGCAAAATGTCTCACACAACATTGAGGGATATTCTTGTGTGCCACGCAATGCGAACAACATTGGATTATATGATATAAATTCATCACTACTAATTGCACTAATTGATGCATTCAAGTAATTAACTGCTTGGCCATTAGGATGCCTCAATTGTTACAGGGAAATTGTGTGCAAAGGGCTGTGCTTGCAATGTCAACTACAGCCCTCAAATTAGCCTCAAATTTCACCCTTTCATAGCATTTGCATAAACAATTCAATCAGAAAATCGCATTATCATATTTCACATGGTCTGTATTTGTGCTGGAAGTACTTGAATTACACCTGAAGCACTGACACAAATTACAGAGTGCAATTCAACTAAGATGAATTTAAACATTTTTCACTGTCAAGACAAGCCCTTGTGCATCAACATTTTCCGCCCTTTTGCCGTGAATATTCCATTTGATGATTGATCAAATTGACTTATGACTTCCTTTGCAGGTCCCATCGTGTCTGCCCTGGCTAATAAATACGGCTGTCGAACGGTGTGCATCGCTGGAAGTATCATTGCGTGCGTGGCTTTCGTTCTCAGCACCTTCAGCACCTCGGTTACCATGCTTATGCTCACGTATGGCGTGATGGGAGGTAAGATTTGTCCAATATGAGGACATTTTCGCATCATAGCGACGCACTGTGTGGCTGCAATGCACTCACTTGCACAATCTGCGGCTCACCTGTGGCACCCAGCACAGAGTGGGTGGCAGGTGATATGAATAATGCGGTTTTCTCAATTGCAACAGTTGCAACTAAGTGTCACACACACACATGCGGCCTTTTCTGCATGGGCTGACAAATTGCAAAGGTCGGAGAAATTGAGACATGTTGTTTAAGTTCTCATTCATTTCATTCTCTGGGTGGAAAATCAATTTCCATGGCAGCTGGAAAAACTTCAAAGGCTGCAGAGAAGTCTCTGACAATTCAATTCCGTCGTTTTACATCATTCAAACTCTTGTATAACGCGCATTGTGGTAAATCTAGTTTGTTGCTCAAGATTTTTCAAACTCCATCATTTTTTCTCTGAATGTTTTTATAAGCGGAAAATTATAGGAGGGACAATTCATCTATCTCCTTTCCATCCTCAGTTCTCTGGAGTATTGAAAATATTGAAGTATTTCCCTGTTTTGCTCCGTTTTGAAGATTAACAATAATAAATGTTTTTGAGCAATTTTCGGTGGGGCAAAGAAAACATCCAGAAAAGTGTTTCAACTTTGGTCTTATTGCACCCATCGAAGTGATGGTATTTTATCGTGATGCTCGTCATATCAAAAGTCCAATGAAATGTGTGTCAGTGGAGTGAATTTTTATGATGTTGTCGCACTTGAAATATTTCCCATAATTTTTGCCATTCCTCTCGAAAGAGTCTGTGACTAATAACACTGTTTTTGTCGTCTCATGTGATCAGGTTTTGGCTTTGGCATGATCTATCTGCCGGCCGTTGTTGCTGTGGGCTACTATTTTGAGACGAAGAGATCTCTGGCGACGGGAATTGCTGTGTGCGGATCGGGCTTCGGTACCTTTGCTTTTGCTCCACTGGCGACATATCTGCTGGAGTACATGGACTGGAAGAATGCCAACTTCATCCTGGCGGGCTTGATTCTCAACTGTGCGGTGTTCGGGGCGCTGATGCGACCGCTGGAGTATCCGAAGAAGAAGCGGATGAAGCCACTGATGCAGCGCATGTACGAGGAGAAGCGTCTGCAGCTGGAGAGAGGATCGATTGGCGGCTCGTACTTCATGGTGCAACTGCCGGACGGCACGATGGAGAAGCGGATGAAGCTGCCGCTGAACACTGAACCGGGCGTGCACAGCAGCTTGGCGCTGGATCAGCTGGCGGCAGCGGCTCAGGGTGGTCTCCATCCGGTGGCCACTCTGCCCACCATCAGCGAATCCAAGGTGGCGGACCACGCGGACGCAGCAGCCGAACCGGCCAAGGAAGCGGCGGCAGAAGTGAAGCCCAAGCGGAGACCTCATCGAGTGTCAGAATCTGATGGACAGCCGGAAACACCGACGAAGAATATGCCGCGCAACGCTTCCCAACCCGCTTTCTCCACCCAGGCTCAAGGTGAGAGAGTGTGCGCGTCTCCCTTGGCGTGATGCAACGGCATTCTGATTGATTTGTCAATTGCAGGCATCCCCAAGAATGGCTCCGTCCCCACGTTCGATCGCATCCGCAAGACGTCGCAGGGTGAGCGCTTCAAGCCATCCTTGGCCGCGATAAAGGCCGGCTCGCGCGGCGACATGGGTAGCAACAATGGCGAAGTACGTAAGAACACACAATTAAAGCTGTCGGCAAGCTCAGTTACCGGAAGCAGACCAAACAATACAGACGACAGTGTTAGTACATGCAACTCAATTGGCTATTTTATCTCTCCTCCTAATCACGGCGTTTTCCCATCGTGTGTTTATCTACTAGTCGGGTCGTGGGTGCTCACAATGTAGCTGCACACTAACTCTTGGCATTGACCTCCTTCGCGCCTCCCATTGAGAAGTGTGACAGGTGTTGATTGTAATTGGCTGAGCGTGCAATTGTGGCATATTTTTCTTTCACAGAATATGCTCAATGTTCCGGACAATTGCAACTAATGCAGTGCCTTTTCTTGCTAAACACCACGATACTATCAAAATACTAATAAAATTTCCACTCTAGCTATAATAACTTTAAGTATTCCTTGCATGGGAGGCACGAAGTGACTCCGAATGAATCCTTCTTAGGCAAATTTAACACTCACACACTCTAGAAATTGATACACTAACCATCAGTTTGGGGGGGGGGGGGTGGAAAATGGAGAAAAACTCTAACACTTTACTTGGACTCTTTGTCGTAGGATGGCGAAATGGTTTACACCTCGAAGAGCTCTCTTCGGGAGCGCCCGGCAATTGTGCGCCCAATGTCGCGCAAGGACATCTTCTACTCTGGCTCTGTGACCAACTTGCGTGAGTTCCAGTCGCAAAAGTCCCTCTCGCACTACCGCAACTCCGTCATCTCGCTGCCCAAGTACGAGAAAGCCAGCCGCGTTGACGTCCGCGATGGTGGTGAGGATATTGAGCGTGGCGAAAGTGAGTTAATCTGTCTCCAGTTGATCTGCTCAGCAAAGCCTTTAATCTCTCTCTCTCTCTCTCTCTCTCGCCACTCTGCCACAGAATACGACTTGTGTCCCTGCCTGGTGCTGCCCGACTCCTTCAAGTCGGCTCTGGCCACGATGCTGGACGTGAGTCTGCTCAAGGACCCCGTCTTCATGATGATCGGAATCTCAAACGTGTTCGGCATGGCGGGACTTTATGTGCCATTTGTGTATCTCGTGGACGCTGCTGTTCTCTCGGGCATCAACCAGAGCTCCGCCTCCTTCCTCCTGTCCATCATCGGCATTACCAACACGTTCGGTCGTGTGATTTGCGGCTACGTTGCTGACTTCCCCAGAGTTGACTCTCTTCTGCTGAACAACATGTGTCTCGTTGTCTCCACCATTTCTGTCGCCTTGACGCCCTTCTGCAAATCATACGAAGCTTACGTGGCCATGGCGATCTTCTTCGGCATTGCTGTGTGTAAGTATTCTATTAAAAAATTCCAGAGAATGATTCATTAAAAAAAATAATTCTCTAATTTCCTAACTTCTTCCAGCTGGTTACATTTCCCTCACTTCCATCCTTCTTGTCGATCTGCTGGGCCTGGACAAGTTGACCAACGCCTTTGGCTTGCTGATCCTCTTCAGAGGCGCTGCCGCTATCATTGGATCTCCTTTGGCTGGCGCTGTCTATGACGCCACTCAAACCTACGATATTCCCTTCTACATAGCCGGATTCTTCTTCCTCATTTCCACCATCACCAGCTTTATGGCGCCGCTGATGAAAAGGTCTTTCCCTGCTTTTTGCTCAATGCATTTGTCAGAGGTTGTGAAGTGTGTTTCATTGCTTTGCAGATGCGTCAAATCCACCGAAATTCCCGCTTATCCCGAGGAAGCACTCACGCCAATTGACGAAGAACCCGCTGAAGATCTGGCCGATGACGATCAGCCCATCACGATGGTGCCCAAGATTGTGCACACGGCTCCGTCTCCATCCACCGAGCAGCCACAGAGCGTCGCCACGAAGCCCCCGCAGAATGTGGACAAGGAGGTGAATCAGCGCGAGTCAGTTCTCTGAAGACCATTCAGCTACTCGCACTACAGACGCTTCCTGCGTCAGCAGAAAAAGTTCTTTTAGGCACATTGACATATTGTAGGCTGAATGATTTTTATTCTTCTCTATTGGAAACCTTCTAATAATGATTTTTCTCCGATGTAAATACTATTGCTAATCCCACGAGAAAGAGAGAGAGAGAGAGATTGTGTGTAGAAGGTGACAGAGAGATTTTATTAGGATGTATTTGTCATAGGGAAACGAAAGGACGCGAAGGAGTGCATGTTTTAGGGAAGACGAGAAGAGACGATTCACAGTGGTGAATGAATAATATAGGAGAATTTAGGCATGCGATCATATTACTTGATACTTTATCTAATGAGAGAAAAGAAAATTGTGTGAAAATCACACAGAAATTCGTTCAAATTACTTTCTAGTTAGATTGATGAGAGTGTTTATATATTTAAATTTAATTATTTCCTTGTATATCATATCATTTTAAGACGAGAAACAGTGTTAATTTGTACAGTTGGAGATAAATCAAATGCGACAAATGTGGACGATCAAGTTGTATTGAATTGTATTGTATAGCATTGTTAGGCGAGAGCGCGCTCAGATGTGGCGAGAGAATTATTGTGAGAATGAGAGAAAATTTATTAACTTTTAATTGCAAACACTGTGATATAACTCAGTGAGTTAGAAATGATGCAACATTTTAGCTTGTGCTCAACATCAATGCAGAGAGTGACACTCGTTCACAAATTTTTGAATAATTCGAGAGAGCAAATTACTATCTTGGCTCTCGAAATTTTCTTTGAAATAACAACAACAACAAAAAAGGTGAGAAAGAAGAGATTTTAGATAATAAAACACCATAAGCAAGAGAGATTTGTAAAAATAACAAATAAATCAATTGAAAAATATAACATAATAATAATAATCAACTATTTAGAGAGGAAGAGAAGAAGAGATACGATTTTTTTCTTTCTTGTACAGAAACAACAAAAGCACACTCTATCAAGTGATTTTCCAACGGATTGAGCTGGAAAATCAACTCATCATTCCATAGATAGATGGGTAAAATAATAAAATAAATGTATCGACGTTGAGAGAAATGGTTTAAGAAAGATGAAAGAATATTTTGAGTGAAGAAACATTTATTTTTCTACAATATAATGTGGTGAAAATAAGTTTAAAAGCTGAGCTTTTTTGGAATCTTCTGATGAAAGATTATTGCAAATTGTAACATTTTCCGATGAGAGAGAGAAGGCTTATAAAAATTCAAAATTCACACCATAAGGCAAAAAAAAAGAAAATACTTATGAAGTGCTTAAGATTACCTCTAACACTGATTCAATGTACTTTTTCCTTGCCATCCACTGTGGTGAGCGAACTGTCTCACTTTTGCTATCAACAAACAAAACCTTAACAAACATTATATAGTGAAAAAAAACATAGAGAAAACACATAGCTAACTATAAAATATATAAATGGCAAAAAGAATATATAGATGGAAAAAATAACTTTAAAAAAAACTATCAAGCATAAAAAATAGCCATATTATCGATGTGTAAATGTTGACAATGGAGAGAAGATGAAAGCATTGCTGAGAAGAGAGTGTTTGAGCATTGAAATGCCTCAATGATTGCTGAGTAGATGCAAGAAAGCTGTCGTAAAAAAAATCAGTGTAATAATTGTAATTTATTCCATCGCACGACTGACGATGAATGCAATGAGAGCGACGCTGTCTTAAGTGCTTTTTCTCTCTGAGGCAATTGAGCCCAAATAGAACTAAGAAAAGAAAACTACCCTCAACTCTCAAGAGCTTAAGAACCACCCCTTTTTCCTCAATGTTTGCAATAGATATTAAGTGGATAAATTGTCAAATGGCAAATGTTTTAGATGCTTGTGAAAGAGATTAGCTCACCTCTGGAATTAAATGTACTTTCGGGCGCCTCATTGACTCAATATTCATCGTTAAACACCTGTCATGAAGCGATAGAAGCGGTAAAAGGATTTCCCAAGGGATTTCCCTATATTTATTTCTTTCTGTTGTTGCATGACAGATGCTGAAGTGCGATGTTGAAGAAGAAAAAAAAATAAACATTTGGTGTCAATTAAACAGTGTTTGTTTTCTTTCAATTCAATCATTAGAAATGTTTCGCAGGACAACGAAAAAACTTCAAGAGCTTCAGAGTATCACAAATTACTGGAGAAATTCGTCCATAAATTCATTACGTCTGTCGTGCTGTAAAAAATTCTATGGTTTCATCAATGTTTTCTCTATGGAACACATTGCTTCTTCACACATTAATGTGCGACATATTTCGTTAGATTAGGTCACTAATAGTCTTGTTAATAGTGTGAATATTTATTTTTGAGACGGTCAGTATTTTCCAACATGCTATGAACCCCTCGAGAAGCGCAATCTCGTGCTTTCTAGTCGAGAATCACACATTGAAATCCCAACGATCCACCTGAAGTGGTTTCTCTCGCACGACAATACGCAAAATACGACTGATATTTTAGTGAATGACACCCATCATTGGCTGTATTTCATACACCATCGAATTTATTTTTACCTTCGGCTATTTAGAGTTTTTCTGCTGTGCAAAAATAGAGACCGCCAATTTCCAATTGAGTTCAATTGATTTTCGGACTGAGACACGCGACTCCAGTGAATGATGAAACTCCACGAAGGAGTGACGTGAGAATTCTCTGCTGAGTGCACTCAAGGGTTAAGTATTTGATCAAGAAATCCGCCTGTTGTTTGCCACAAGGAAGTAGTGGAGTCAACAACTATCGCTTTCGTCTCGAGAGCAAACAGAGTGTATTTGGAACGCTGCACTGGCTTCTGAGACGCTCTCAGGCCACAAAATGGCAAACTCTATCTTATTTGTGCAGTCAAATATTTCTGTTGTTTGCCGCAAAGGCCTCAAAAGTTTCGGAGAAATATGATTTGGATTGAGATTGGCGAAAAAGAGCCCTGAAGGTGTTCTTTTTCTTGCCTTCAATGCTGTGAAATTTCTCGTACGCAAGGTTTCCCGCCTCTTGCGGGGCCGCCCAATTGAAGTGCGAGGCACAATCGCCAATTTGGCGATTAATTGGAATGAGGAAGGCATCGAGAGAGCGCGTCTGGGTGAGTAGAAAGCCCGCCATGTGTGTGATTAATTCAATGAAGAAGCGATATCTTAGACATGTCGCCATTCGCCATGAATTGCTATCAATTAGTGGCAATTCTATTGGGAAGAAGTTGATGACTTTCAACTCTGTGTGTCAGCCCAGAAATAGACATTCGGCCAATTGACTGTGGCGCACGCCGCGGCGGGGCGAAGGCGCCAAAGGGTGACCCAGCAAGGATTATCGCGCGATAACCCCTCTCAATCCCGGCATTTGACCCGCTTTTCGCCACAATCGCATCTCCTTTCAACTCTGGACACACTCGAGACTCTCCGCGGGGTCTTATTATACTTCTCATTACACAACTTTATCAACACACACACACACACACACAGACATGTTTCGGGTGCCACTCAAAGGCGGAAAGATTAGCAAGAAGAGTCTGAGAATTGAGCCACACGAAGTGTCTCCACAATTAATCCTAAGCCACTGATAAGCCACCTTGTTGACCCCACAAATCCATCACAGAGAAAGCTCAAGTGATTTTCAGGGTCAGACGTGACAAATAAGGACAGAAAAGCGGGGAAATTCTCCTGAAATTGTGAGTACTTTTCCCGGCGAGATGATTTTCTTGTCACCAAAACACGCTCTCCTTCACATCTTCACCCTAAAGCGATACACTCTGACCATCTTATCGTCAACTTGACCCTCCAAAAAAGACTGAAATTGAGACTTATTCTGTGTTTTTTTTCCAGCGCTCTATAATTCATGATTAGTATCAAAATATCGGATATAACATCTTACAATTTCGCAAGAAAATATTTCTAAGGTCAGAAAGACTCTTCAATTCTCAAATCACAATTTGGTACCTCACTTTTTCCACTGTATTTTCCACGATTCAATTGTAAAGGCATCTGAAAAGAAATTGAAAGTCCACAAGAAGGTGATAATGAATAAAAATAAAAATTCCATGGTCAGCAGAGAGCTTGCAAAAATATTCCGCTCAGTGCGAATTTCTCAAGTAATTGAGGAAATTTGGCGTAACATTTTTCATGTGATCAACTAAATCCAATCCGCCGTCATTAGTGAAATACAGCCTGTCTCAATATCAGCACCATGGAAGGTCAGGCGCACCGAAAAACTCACATTATGGCGCTTTTCGCGCTCCCTCGACTGCTCAAGTTCAAGTTTAGCCCAAAATTCACACGACGAAAGCCAAAAATTTCCACATTCTCGCGGGAAAAGAGAGTTGAGTTGTCACGAGGCGCACAGAAATAGTCGATATGTGATCTATATTCTCACAACTGCGTGGGTGGCAGTCAATCAAGCTGGCGTCCGCAATTTTGGAGGGTTTCACCGCGTGCAAGATGCGGAAGCTTTGGGCCTCCGAAACACTGGGTTGACGTCAATTTGCGTCGTGGCTTCTCTTCTCTCTCCAATTGGTCAGACAATCGGGGGCTTGTCACGGGCTTTAGTGCGTCTCGCGACTCTAAATTAGCGACGCACATTGATTGACGAATCGTCTTCAGGAGACCAAAGATCAAGACGATTTGTATGCTGAAAAAGACGTTAAAGAACCAGCAATCAAATTCAAATTCTCATGCAATCAATTAAAATGATTAAAATGTAGTAAAATCGGTAAAATCAAATCGATAACAGTTTTTAGAGTTGTTTCCATTTTTATTTTCACTCACTTTCAAACACCACGCTCTTCAATTCTCTGAAGCTCTCTGCTTTTAATTCAAGTACACGCATTCTTTTATGATCAATTACAAGAAAAAGGTTTATTTTTTTACACTGCGCCAAGCAGCACAAGAATATGAATAAGAAACTCAAGGATATTCTCTCATTGTATCCACAAATACGATAAAATATCTCTTGATCTCGTTTTGTCTTCAGATTTGTGCCCGGAAAAAAAGAGAATTCAAGAATAATTGGCGAGATGATTTGCATTAGGAACATCAACATAAAAACCGAAAGTTGATTGCTCATCATCAGGCGGAAAACCTGAGTCTTTCTCACATGAGCACGCATAAGAGCGTGCGAAGAGAACAGAAATGTGGATGATTGGCGAAGGTCAGACGAGTGTCTTCCCCAAAAGTCAAATTTATTGGACAGATCGATGATCAATTTATGCGAATTTTTAGTCTTTGTGGAGACGCAAGAGTTTAACACACGCGACAACTCTGTGAATCTCACCTGGAAACCTGCGAGAATCACATGAAATCACTGGAATCTCTTGCATAATTCAATCCGAATTGCTGTTCTAAATGTCGAAGATGTTTTTTCGATGTAGAATTCACCCAAGAAGCTTACTATATACAGGTCATAGTTGCGATATGTGTTTACCGTCATATTCTCCCATAAAATCAAGTATAAAACTGACTAATATTCAAAGAATAATATCTCGTGTAACTTAACAATCAACAAATGAATCGATTTGAAGAGTGAAGAATTCACTTAAAAGCTTCTTCTGCAGATAATGCTGCGCTTAACGCGTGTAATGCTCAAAACTAGTGCTTTTTGCAGACATTCTCACTTCCAAGTGAGCCAATTTCATCGTAAATCATATGCAATATTGCACGATATTTGCACTGAGTTGGCTGGAATTGTATGAATTCTGCACGTGTGCGAATTCCATTAGCAACAAGTGTACCCAAGATCTCTCTCCGGCCTCTCGCCAAAGCTCCGGCCGATAAGCTTCGCTAAAGTAGGCGAAAAGTCACGGCGATCAGCGCGGGGAGGCGGAAAGAGTGACATGTGATTTGCTGCTTTAAGCTCTTTCGCAGTCCCTCTCTTTTTTTCCTTGTCTTCACATTCTATCTGGGTAAACACAGGCATAGAGTATCGGAACCCCATTGAGTCAGTCACACTCTGGACTCCTTCGTGTTCGCACGAGCTTCCAATTCTGCTCTTCAGTCGCGAAACTCAGCATTTAGCGATTTATAATACTGCTTTATCTCTCTGTTTTTTCGGTGTGAAAACAGCCGTGAAGTGCCTTTGAGTGTGAAGTGTGAGTGCGCGGAAAAGTGTGGGTTTCCACGAGCAGTTGTAAAGCAATTTTGGCAGTGATCATGTACGTAGTCTCATTAAATATTAACTTGAAGTCACTATTTTAGTACCACAAAGAATCACTGACGATGAATGCTAATATCGGGACACAATGCTTATCCACACTGACCGCGATAGTGACAGAGAGACAAAGGGCTCAAATATTTAATGCTGCACAATACGACTTTGCTATCTGTGCACCAGCAAACACAGAGGATCCATGCCAAGTGATCTTGCTTGGAAAGCAATGTGTTTATCAGTCAAATGGGAGTGAAGTTGGAAAAATCCGCCCTGTCGAAAAGTGCAAAACTCCACTGTGACTCACAATGTTGCTAATCAGCCACATTAATCATGTCTAATTGCATAAGATCATGATCTCTTGGCGCAGTTCTGCCCATCCTCACATAATTCCGCAATTATCCAATCGCGGCCCCTCGGCAAAAAAGGGAGTTCGCAGTCAATCAACCGCCAATTAACACTTCATTTTTAATTGATGTTTGCCTACAATTCTCCCCGCGCAAATACGCCAATTTTCCTAGTGTAATTTTCTATCTCGAGGCGATGAATTTGATCCACTTCACAATATCGACAATCACTTAATTGAACGCGCCAACAGTCTTCAGGACACACTCATTAATTCAAACAGCAAATTAGCATATGTATATGTTTCATGGTTAAGATCGCTCCATAGTCACAGTTTTTTGCTGTGCAAACAATTGATAAACTCCAAGTATTGCGGCTGGATTATGGCTCGATGATGGATGGATTTTCAATTAGTCGTAAATTACAGCTCTTTGCACGTCATTCACGTGAATATTCTGCAAGTGAAATATTCTCACATGCTCCAGAACTCCCGAATTCGGTCAAGAAGCAAGGTTAGCACGAGCAAAAACCGCACGCTTTTTCACTAACAGAGTTTCCTGTGCGCCCAACAAATGGCTAAGCCATAAAAAAATAGTCATAAAAAGTCAAGATCACGAGTGATAAAATGTGTATTATTTCAAGATAAATTCTGAGCATAATTTTTTGGAGGCTCGTCTCTTGTTGTCTTGTTAAATTTCCCTCCTTTCGCTCTCGTGCCATTTTTTTTCTCATCTCCATCTCAAGGCGAAAGGGTCGCTGATTCATGCGATCGTCGTCAGTATCCAAATGATTGGCGTGAGGAGATATCAAATTGATCAATAACAATAACAAGTGATCACAAGAGACACATGCGTCTTAAATATTTAATTCTAAGTCACTTGTCTCCTTATCGCTTCGTCATTCGATCTATTTTAGTGCATACGCCCTCTGTTGTAGTGAAGATAGACAGAAGAATGAGGAATGCGATCACTGAGGAGAAATATATCTCGCCACCGAAGCTAAAGCATCGCTTCGGCATTTTCTTGGCTCCATGGAGCCACTCAATGTATTCAGCTCAGTGTTTTTTGGTCAAAGTCTAGAATGGTTTTCTAAGAAGTGCGCCACAATTCCACCAATCACTGGCGTGTGAAAGAAAATTGACGAATTTTAAAAATAAGTGGGCAACCTTGTGGGAAAGTGTACGCAAAAAAAGCGCCAAAAAACTTGTGTAATCTCTCTTCCACTTCTCAATATTCAGGCATTCCTAAAAAATGAGCCGCTCTTATCAGTTTGTAGAGTGGGATTTCAGCTCCCGCAGCTTGGAGAGTGATAGGAAATGTCGTGGGTGGGATTAATTTACAATACCTCTGTTGGGTGTGTGTGAATAAATTTTACGACCATCGCGATTATTATTCGCGATCCCGCAAAAGCATCTTGTTGACCTCAAGCGAGACTGAAATCGGTCGCAAATACTGTCAAAAAAATAAAGTCACTGAAGCTCAATTGATGCTAATTAGACGCGTGAAAACCGGTATTCAGAGTTTTTCGGGAAATGCCCATGATTGTACCAATGGCTTTTCCCCTGCGATGCGCCGCAATTACATAATGCGTGTGCATTAAATGTAAAACCGTGTCAATAAGAGGCATTTAAAAAATCCCACCCTCGAGGCTCTCCATTGAGGCAACGAGCTCATCTGCATTCCTCCCCCGAGGGGTCAACAACTCGCCCAGAGTGACCTTTTGTGCGTCGAGAGTGTCTAATTCACAAACAGGTCTGCTATTTGGTAAATAGTAAACACGGAATTGACGGCTGATTTCAAGGATTTGTCGCGCCATAGCATTTTACATGTGAAATTCAAATGATTTGCTGTTATGCGCAATGAGATTTATGTGCCTGTGAAAAGCACGTCAATCATTTCAAGTAAATTGTAAAAGCTTCCGGAGCTTTCCACTTCAAGTACAATATCAAATATGCAATCAAGTGAGTGATGAGATGAGTAAAAAGTGAGGAGTTTGTGCGAAATATTCTGCAGAAGATTTGCGTTTGGAACCCCCTAAAAATTGTTTCTCTCTCAAATCTTCAATGTTACGTGCATTATTAAGTGGGAATTCCAAGAGAAGAGAGTATAAAAAAAACTCACTCTCAAAAGTGAATTGCAAATGATTCTTCACTTTTCTTACCACATTCCATGATAATTATTACTATAAATAAATATACAACATTGTAAAATCCCCTGCATTTGATAGAGGTCTTCCGAGAAAAAATTCATCATTTATCATCAAATCTAGCCAAGCCCCCCGAAATAACACAATTCCATCTCAATAGTTTAATTTGCACGTCTGGAAACGTGGAAGAAAACCCTTATCTATGATATAATCGGCACGAGGGGCGATCAATCAATGAAAAGATGGTCATTATGCGGATAGTTGGCTGTGTGTGTGTGTGTGTGTGTGTGTGTCGAAAAGACACGTGCTTAGCCTTAAAGACGTGATAAGTCAATCGCTAGAGTGTTTAAATCCAGAGGTGGGGCTTTATCACGACCATTCGGAAGCCGCAGATGAAAGTGTAAATTTTTACGCTACATACGTGGAATTTCGCATGAAACTCATGACGCAGAGTGTCTTCGAGATCCAGTTTCATCCAGACTCCATACATTTTTGGCATCACCAATTAATAGGAATCCAGCAAGAAGTGACAATCTATCACTTAAGTTAATATTTTGGGAAGCCTCATGTCGCACATCTCGCATGTGTTGCGCAACACGCAAAGAACTTCGCGAGAGAGAGAAAAGCGGGCCGCAGGCTTTTTTTGTTTCCTCTGATTGAACAGCAACTGATCTTGAACTTATTTGCGGTGTGCCAATTGGAAAAGTCAAAGGGGGATTTCGTCGCGTACGTGAAGAGTTCACGAGAGGAAAATTCTCACATGAACAAGTGCGATTGTGGAATTAATAGAGCCACTTGTTGATCATTCTGTTGACACATCAATAAATAATCACCATGTGCACACAGTTTTCCACTCCATACGCAATGTTTTCACGCTCTCCCCCATTGAGAAGTTGACTTGTTTGCCTATATTTTACGTAAATTGGAAAATATCAATCTCACACGATCGTTGCCAATTACCATAAATGCATGTGACTTCCTACGTGACATTGCGGCTCGTCTGATAAGCCGTGGCTTCACGATTACTCCTTGGATGTTTACATCTTCCAGGTTTCAAACATCGTGTGATATTTTAATTTTTGCCTCACTTGATCTGCTGTATTTGCTGATTACTCCAAAGATGGTTATTCTTATCAAACTTACTCAATTTTATGGGGGTCATTTCATGCTATTTCCAGAGATGTAATCATAAGAAAAAAAAGGAAAGATGTCAAGTGTTATCACAACTTGATTGATAGGTATTGATTAGAATAAATAAATACATACAAAATAATTATACATTTTTAGCATCTCCAGTAAATTTCCCAATCAAAACCACCAGCTCTGGAGTCTTGTGATGTCAAATCTCCTCACCAACAGCGTCTCCTTCTCTTCCAGAATCCGCCTGAGGCACCAGTGAAGATCCCGATGCCGCCGCAGAACACGCTGGAACTGGCGGAGAATGGCGCCAATGAGAAGGACACGAACGGCGCCCTCGTGACGAACGGAAAGGAGCACCTGAAGGAGTCCGAGGATGTGCAGGAAGTGGCCACGGCGCCTGTGGTTGTGCCGCCAGACGGCGGCTGGGGCTGGGTGGTCATGATGGCCTCCTTCTGCTGCAACATCATCGTGGACGGCATCATCTTCAGTGCTGGCGCTCTCCTGCAGCCCGTCAAGACGGAATTCGGGGTGACGGATGCCGAAGTGGCTCTGGTGACGTCCCTCCTCAGCGGCTTCTACCTCATGGCCGGACCCTTCGTCAGCGCCCTGGCCAACCGCTGGGGCTTCCGGCCGGTCACAATGATGGGCGCCACGATAGCCGCCGTCGGCTTCAGCACATCATACTTTGCTGGCAACATTGTCCACTTGTACATCACTTACGGAATCATTGGGGGTGAGCTTGACCTTATCTTATCGCGCAGCCATTGGAATGCCACTTGAGGCTCCTTGAGACTCTGGGAATGCTACAACCACATTCACTTTCAGGGATTGGCTTCTGCCTCATTTACATGCCATCGGTGATAACTGTGGGCTATTACTTTGAGCGCTGGCGCGCCCTGGCCACCGGCATCTCCCTCTGCGGCTCCGGCATTGGCACATTCATCTTCGCCCCACTCTCGGATTACCTCATCACCAACCAGGGCTGGCGCATAACTCTGGTCATCCAGGGCGCCATAATACTCCTCTGTGTCCTCTTCGCCATCTGCTTCCGCCCCATCAAACCCATCCAGGTGCCCATCGACCAGGTGGCTGCGGCGGAGAAGGAGAAACTCCAGGAAGACGCTCTCGAGAAGCGCCTGGCGCACTCCGTGCCCGGCAGCGTCAACAACACCTGGATGGGCTCCAATCACAACACCCACTATCCCACAGCCTCGGAAGTTTTCCGCGGCAGCGGTCAGGACTTGAACGGCAAGCGCGCGTCCGAGGACAGAGAAACCCAGACGCCACTTATGCCGGCCGCCCTGGAGCTGCGCCCTGTTGGCGAGACGGACGAGGCCGATGAGAATGGCGCCCTGCTTGATGGCGAGACGAAGCCCGTGATTGTACCCATGAGACGCCACACAGTCACCGAACGGGAGCCAGTAAGCCGTCGCGTGTCCACCACATCCAATCCCCGGCCACTCTACCGAGATGACATCTTCTTCAGCGGCTCTGTACAGAGACTGCCTCAGTACCAGTCGCAGACCTCCTTGGGCTACCACATGTCCGTCACGCGACTGCCCACGCAGCAGGATGTGCGCGAGGAGAAAGAGCCCTCCTGCCGCCTCTGCCCGCAAGTGGTCACCCGGACTTTGGCCACAATGTTGGACATCTCCCTGCTCAAGTGAGTTTTTCTTGATTGACAGCCAAGGCGGCGGTGCTTATGTCCCTTGATTTTCGCCAGATCTCCGACTTTCATGCTGCTCGCCTTGAGTGGCTTCCTCACGATGATGGGCTTCTTCATCCCCTTCATGTACCTCGTGGCGCGCGCAGTGGCGCAAGGGATGGACAAGCAGGTGGCAGTCTTTGTGGTGTCCTCCATTGGCATCTCCAACACTGTGGCCAGGATTGGCTGTGGCCTCATCAGCTCAATCAAGGGCGTCAGTCCGCTGCATGTGAACAACATCGCAATCACTCTCGGCGGCGTGGCCACGATCTTCAGCGGCTACTCCATGAGCGAAGCCTTCCAGTTCACCTACGCCGCCGTTTTCGGCATCGCCATAGGTAAGATGAGCTCCCTTGAAACTTAAAGACAATCTGTTTTAACTGTTTGTGCATTGTCTGTTGCAGCCTGCTTCTCAGCCCTGCGGTCAATCATCGTCGTGGATTTGATGGGACTTGAGAAACTGACGAACGCCTTCGGCATTCTGATGCTCTTCCAGGGCATCGCGGCCGCTATCGGATCTCCAATTGCCGGTAAGTTGTTGCCACCCGAATAGCCCAGGTTTCCCTCATACAATTCATCACTGTGACGCGCTCAGATTAGCCTCATGGACTCAGATACAAGCCCACTCGATGAGATAATCTCTCACGCTTGATAGCCACTAAATTCTTCAACAACGTAGATTACATGTCATGCTCACGGATACAATTTCGCCATATCTTTTTTCAGGTGCATTCATGAGCTTGACTAACAGCCACGATGCCGCCTTCTGGCTCTCCGGCATCCTGATGACCATCTCAGCCCTGATAATTATTCCCCTGAATCTGGTAAAGCGCTGGGAGGACAATCGCAAGCCATCGTCGAATTCGTCAGCCTGAAGAGACCACCAATTTACTGACGCGCCGCATAAGAATTTAGCCCCACTATTCTGTGATATCAGCATGAAAATTTATCAAATGGATTTGTTGATATTTTAGTGAGATATTGTAGAGACAGCACAAGAGCACCGTCATAGAGCGATAGTGATTGTAAATATGTTGATTATTCATATCCTGTGTAAATTAATTGCTATTATTGATGATTTTACAAGAGAGAAGACAAGAATAGGATTACATTTGTTAGAATTTATATAACGTGAGGAAAGACTTTTGTAGTGAAAATGTGCCTTTTTATTCTACCACTATTTACACGTGAAGGCATTTACAGCCGGATGTCTTGCAGGACAATCGAGAGCTGAGCCATTATTTCACATCGATGTAGAGGAAAAAAATTGCTAATAAGCGTGTAAATATCAGAGAGTAATTTACTTCTTTATACAATGCATGATGTACTCTCAATTAGTTGACATTTAGATGAGGGGACAATGTTTTTTTATTTGTTAACTACTCAATATATAGTTGAATAAACATTGTTAGAAAATTTTCAGCAGGAGTTTGAGCGCCTTTCCTTCCCATTCGTTTCAGTTTTGGCTCGAAAAAGAATCACATAAATTCATGATATTTGTATCACGTGTTCAAAGGTCGTAGGAAGCCTCAAAGTCAAGGCGGAAGATCTCCTGGGCACCCTCAGCAGGGATCCAGTGAACAGCAGAAGAATGTTCATTCTGAAGGACAACAGCAAAGGCAGCAAATGGGACAGTTTCGGAGTGATGAAGTGCCCAAGGCATTCAAGCAAAGTATGCAGAGCGATGATGAGCAGAAGATGAAAGGCGGCGAACCTGAAAAAGGGAGTCAATCTGGGCCTCAATTTCCGTCTCTTCGACAAGTAAGGCCTCAATTTAGACCTCCTGGGCAGCCTTTGTCTCAAGCTGGGCCTTCATTTGGATTTGCTGGACAAGCACGACTTCGAGCGCCTCCACGAGGCCAAGAACAGGAACTTCCTGTTCAACCATTACCAACAGGAGGCGAGAATATCGCCTCGAAAAAGGAAACACGTCAAGATTCTGAGCAAACTCCAGAAACTCCTCGTCAGGCGTCAACAAAGCAGCCCGAGAAGAGCGAATCGGCGCTCGAAGTGGCGATGAGTCCATACAAAAAACCCGGAACACTTGGAAGACGTGTGAAATTCGAGGCGAACTTTGTCTGCTTGGTCCTCAAGAATCTCGTCGATATGGCTTATCACTATCACATGAGAATTGATCCGGGCTATCCGAAGAAGCTGCTCGGCGATGCCTTTGAGATATTCAGAGAGATGAAATTCCCTGAGCAGATCATGGCCTTTGATCGCAGTACGAATGCTTATACGATTAAGAAGCTCCTCTTGCCTCCCGGCGGCCTAACAGCTGAGGACTCAATCAAAATGAGGTCTGCAATAATCATCCGATGTTTTTCGTATAAAAAGCTCTGCACAGAACTTTATTATTGTAGCATTTTTTAGTTTCGTGTCTTATCCATGATTTTAATTTCTGTTTCATTGTATTTTAAAGAGGTTTGTACATTGAATTCAACAAATGCATGTTGAATTCTGTTTTGGCTCTTTGTAGTCTTCCAAGAACCAGAAACTTTGCAAAAAGCGCCAAAACCACTGAATGTGAGCTTAAGTCGTCAGACACATCAGACGAAACCTGCGACACTCCTATGACATAGTCGTTAAACACTTTCTAGGGCAAATCGAGCTTTTTCCGGAGTAAATCGTGCGTGTTTTGCACGAGGGTTTGTTTTCTTCCATTACTCCTCGATTTTCGCCGTTTTCCACAGTCTCCCTGCCACAACTCCGTCACAATGGGGCGGAAAACCAAATTAGGAAAGACTCGGAAGGATAAATTCTACAAACTCGCAAAGGAAACAGGTAAAAGCGGCGAGAATTCCACTCTTTTCTCAGCCAGTCTCTCATTGAGGTTATGTGTTGACTAATATTGCCTTCGGATTCTCTGGCCAGGATATCGTTCTCGGGCTGCCTTCAAGTTGATCCAGCTGAACAGGAAGTTCGGCTTCCTGCAGGAGTCGCAGGTGTGCGTGGATCTGTGCGCTGCGCCCGGAGGATGGATGCAAGTGGCGAAGCAGAACATGCCGATCTCCAGTATCGTCATCGGCGTGGATCTCTTCCCCATCAAGCCCGTGGGCGGCTGCATAGGACTCGTGGGCGACATCACGACGGACACCACGAAGGCGGCGCTGGCTAAGGAGTTGGGCACGTGGAAAGTGGACGTTGTGCTGCACGACGGAGCGCCAAATGTGGGCAAGAACTGGCTTCACGACGCCTTCCAGCAAATCACGCTGACCCTGAGTGCCCTGAAGCTCGCCACGCACTTCCTGAGACCTGGCGGATGGTTCGTGACGAAGGTGTTCCGCTCCAAGGACTACAATGCGCTGCTGTGGGTGCTGAAGCAGCTCTTCCGCAAGGTGCACGCCACGAAGCCCTCGGCGTCGAGGAAGGAATCCGCGGAGATCTTCGTCGTGTGTCAGTACTACGTGGCGCCGGACAAGATCGATCCTCGACTGCTGGACGCGAAATACGTGTTCGAGGAGCTGGATTTGGAGACGAAGAAGAGCAGCGTCTTGCATCCGGACAAGCAGAAGAGGATCAAGGCGGAGGGTTACACGGAGAAGGACTTCAGTCTGCGCCACGAGTTGCCCGTGTCCAAGTTCATTGAGCACGCGAATGGGATTGTGGCTCTGCAGGGCGTCGGAGAGATTGTGTTCGACGACGAGGAGATCGCCAATCACCCGAGGACCACCGAGGAGATCCGCGAGTGCTGCAAGGACATCAAGGTGCTGGGCCGGAAGGATTTGAAGGCGTTGATTGCGTGGTGGAAAGCCTTACACAAAGAGTGGGAGGAGAACAAGAAGCCCAAGGTTGAGGATGAGATGCCAGAGGAGGCGCCGAAGAAGACGCAGGATGAGCAGGAAGATGAGGAGCTGGACGAGCTGGAGGCGCACGTGGCGGAAGTGGCTCTGGAGGAGGCGAAGGAAGCGAAGAGGCGCAAGAAGAAGGCCAACAAACTGCGGGCGCGCCTCAATGAGAAGATGAACCTGAAGATGGTGCTGAAAGGCGACGAAGGACCGCGCGAAGAGGCTGACGATGAAGTGTTCAGCCTGCAGAATATCAACTCGGCCAAGCGCCTCGAGCAGCTGGATGATCAGACACCCGACGTCCTGGCGGATTCTGACAACGAGGCGGACTCTGAATTCCGCCCGAAGTTCGTGAGATTTTCCAAAGATGCGATTTACGATGACGAGGGAAACGTGGAAGAGGGCAAAGTGTCTGACTTTGAGCTCTCGTCGACGGATTCGGACTCAGATCTAGAGCAGGAGGGCCTGGGATTGCCAGGAGATGAGGAGGAGTCGGGAAACGAGGACGTCGCCAAGGCGAAAGAGGTCCGAGCGAAGCTCAGAGCGACGAATCCTCTTCTCATGGACCTCGATTCACGCGACAAAGACACCAAGCGGACCCAGAGAGTCCAGTTTTGGTTCGAAAAGGACACACTGAAGGGACTGGAGGACGAGGAAGAAGATCAGGAGTTCGATCTGGATCGTATCGCGGCGGAATTCAAGAAGAAGGGCGTGAAGATTCTGGGAAAGGCGGAAGAGCAGGAATTGCCGCTGGGCAAGAAGGCCAAGAGGAAGGCGAGGCATCAGGCAGACAAATCAGAGTCAGACACCACGGATTCAGAGGACGAGGATCACGATTCAGGTGAGGAATTGTGGCATTCTGCGTGTGTCTGGAATGACATTTCACTGTGATTACTTTCCAGGCGCGGCTGTGAAGCACGAAGTGGTGCAAAACGTGGGCGGAAAGGCGGGCTTCGACGTAGTGGCACGCCAGCCGACGAAGAAGATCCGCCTGAGTGAGGAGGAGCTGGCACTGGGCTCTCTGCTGGCCAGCGGTCGGCGGAAGCGTCGGGATCTCGTGGACGCGGCGTGGAATCGCTACACTTTCAATGACGACGACTTGCCGGACTGGTTTGCGCGCGACGAGGCGCTGCACATGCGGAAGGAGGCGCCGGTGCCTCGCGAGTTGGTCAGTGAGTACCATCGGCGCATGGAGGAGATAAATGTGCGCCCCATCAAGAAGGTGATGGAAGCGAAGGCACGCAAGAAGAAGCGGGCGCTGAAGAGATTGACGAAGGCGAAGAAGCGCGCCGAGGCGGTGCTGGACAATCCCGACGCGAGCTCACAAGAGAAGATCAGACAGATCCGGAAGCTGTACAAGAAGGCGGAGGACAAGAAGAAGGACGTGACGTATGTGGTGAGCAGGAAAGCCTTCGCTGGCAAGAAGCCCAGACGCCCGGCGGGCGTGAAGGGGCGCTACAGGATTGTGGATCCTCGCCAGAAGAAGGACAAGAGGGCGATGGCAGCGAAGGAGAAGCGCAGTGGGAAGAGGAAATAGAATGTCTAATAGGGATTACTGATCAATAAATACTATATCGAGGATATAATTTGAGTGTTTGGTACACTTGATAGGTTTCCGGGTGACACTCACCGCTGGGTGGCGCCACTGCAGTGCGCGCGCAAAAGAGCGGTTTCTGCCCTTGAAGTGAATTTTCCTGTTTATAAGCGCTCAAGGCTGCAATTTTCACCGAGATTCCCGCTCACGAGCCAAATGAGGCGCTCAAGCCGCCCCCGGAAGTGTGTGGTGCGCTAGTCAAGATGCGAAATCCCGGCACGAGAGCGACATTTCGCAAATGCTGAGCTCCCGGAAAAGTGCGCATGTTTTTTCCCCAGAATCACCTTGAGCTTATGTGTTTGGTGGCCTCGACTTGACCCTGGTGTGGCCGTTATTTCCCGCTCGCGCGGCCAGAGGGAGAGAGTGCGAGAGCCGGGATCCAGCAGAATTGTTTACTACATTCGCTGGGCGATGCGTAGAAAAATGATAAGCGCCGCTAAGCCAGAGTCCCTTTAAGTTTGGGAGAGCATTCCGGACGGAGGAGAATGATTTGTTGAATTTCAAGTGCAATCTCGAGGAGATAGAGCGCGTATTTTTGAAGACTCTTCGGTCACATTGCGCGAGTTCATGAGAGATGCCACAGTGCGTAAAAATAGCGAGAAATAATTGATATGAGAGGTGAAAGAACTTAGCAAATCTAAATTCTCAATTTGCAGAAATCATGCTTGACTCCCCATTTCAGCTCTGCCTTTGGCATTTCCACGGAATTTTCGCGTCACCTTCGAGAGTGTGATGTTCACTTGTGTGCGCAGGAAAACCGGCAAGAAGCGGCTCTGAACTTGACGCTTCCTTGCACTTGACTCGGGCTTTTTCCCCTTCGGATTCGCAGATCAATTTTGCGCGCAAAATTGACGCCTCGAGGACACTCCGTTTGCGAAAAATGCCACGCAATTCGGGATGAAAAGCTCTCTCTTTCTCTCTGCACTTTGGGACAAGCGAAGGAATGCCGGAAGAAAAAGTGACCTTTGCAATAATTGAAGGACAATTGCTCAAGAAATTGCAGTGAAATCCAGTAATTTTGGGCCACGATCTGACCTTGTCGCAAAGTTTTTTGGGGAAAAAGCAAAGAGGGCAAATTGGTTGGAAAGAAACTATTGGTTTGCAAGATGTTTTGTGTGACTCAGCAAAGCTTGACTGTTATGAATGATAAATTAAATTGACGACGATGAATAATCATTTGTTTATTCGCAGAAATCGAGCGCCTTGTGATGCTTCATTCTTCCAAAGGGTGCATGAGTATCAGTTTCGCAAATTAATTATAGCTTCAGCTTATTGAATTACCTTTGAGTTGCGGGACAGATGATGAAAATCAATGCAAAAATGTTTTCAGGAGAATGAGAGAACAATTTTTTTACACACATTTTAAAATAAAAAAAATGCGAGATCAAATCTAAGTGACCATAAAGTATAATCGTCACATTTGTGTGATAGAATTGGTATTTTGTATAGAAATAAATAAATAAGAAAGGTTTTCGTCAATAATGTCAATGCGATGTTCAATTATTAAATTATTCACTCATGTTCAATATTGAATTGGAATCATAGGAGGCGCTGCAATTTAAAAATTGCACTGCAATTGCATTTGCATATTCAAAGTCAACTGACAAAGCGACACATTGTACGATTAGCATGCATTCTGCCATCAATTCCGCCCCACCGAACGGCGCTCCACGAGCGTCGCAGCGCTGGGGTCACGCACGTGGCGACGGATCGATGGCTCGTGTGACGCCGCGTCGCGTGCCCGCGTCTAAAAGTGCTCACGGTCAAGGTCGCTGCAATTGCATGTCGAGAGAGGGCGACATCAGAGTCGCATTGGGCGCACTTTTCCCGCCACGAGCGCAACAGTTTTCCGCACCCTTCGCGTGACTCGACGTGGGAAAATCCCCGTCAGTGGAACACGATCACAGAGTGTGAATTGTCACAGGAATCTGCATTTGCCAATGAGCTTGAGATTTTTTTTTTCTTTTTCTTTGAGAAAATCTGTCCCCAACCCGACAAATCAATATGACGAGCCTTGAACTTGAGAAAATTTCCACCGTGGAATGGCTTTGTTTTGCGCAATAAAGCAGAAAAAGGCGGACTCAATTGGACGCTAAGCAATTGCTCTTAATTACATCTCTTCTAGACTCTCTCAAGTTTGTGGTGTTTGCGAGAAGGCGACGAAATATGCAAATTAGGGGCACGATTGTGACCCTGGAAATCATCCTCTTCCGCCAAATTGACTCACTGCCCAGCGAAGTCACACACGCAAGAATATTCACGCCCACGCGAGGCGGCAAAGAAGTGCCCAAATTCTCAAACGACTCACAAATCACGTGGATTTCGAGAGCTTTTTTAGTCTTTTTTCTTTAAAAACTTCACCACATTCAATCCAATAAACGCTTCACTCAGCTCAATAAACTGTAAGAGAATTGATAAGAAAGAAGTGAAGAGTTTGTGCGATGCACGGATTCTGTCGAGTAACAGATTTTAATTACATTAATTTCTCTCCTTTAATTATTAAAACCCGACTGAGCAAAATAAATATGATATTTTCATCTAAATGTGTCTGTAATTGAAGTAATTTGGCATTCTGGGAATTTAAAGGTCAACCCCTAAAAGGACGAACGTCAGAAGTCGTAATTTGATAAAAGAGATGCACGAAATCCCATCGCATGACTTAACACTATAACGACCTTGACCCTCAACCCTTGGCAGTCTCCGACATGTCAAGTGCTCTTGAGGGCGAGGAAGAGGACGACAATGTCTTTATTTGCATTTCGTTTCAGTGACTTTCCTAACATCCCAATTAATGCTATCGCATGATAAATCATGCTCGGATTCTCACAATTATCATCATCCCTCGCCGGCGTTTTCCAAGAAGCGCGCCCACTTTTGGGGGGTGAAGCGAAATGGCGTATCTCGTTTTCCCGCCAAAGCGGTCAGAGGCTGCGGAGGCCTGACCTCCGCTCGACCTCTGACAGGGGCGACGGCGTGGGCGGCAGGTGAGGCCGGGCGTGCGCGCCTCCGGAGGTCGCGTCAGGGACGCGGCGGCGGATCGATGGAGCCCCGAGGGGCTACACGTGCTCGCGGCGAGCGACGATGCCGGGACAAATCCCGGTCGCCCCCTCAAGACCCACTCAAGCAGCCTCACGCCAGAACTTGTGGGCCACACGTGGAGGGGATTTTCTGCACCTTCCGGCGCTCCTAATTGAAAAGGCGCATCCGCCGAGTGACTTCTTAACAAAGTCCACGGTAAAAATACTCACCTTGGCGGAAATACGTCCTCTTGACGTCATAAGCATAAATTTACACCCAAAATAAGTCTGATGGGAATCGATAATGCCAGCGCAATTCTTAAGCAAATTGTCCCGCACGCTTGGCCTGAACTGAAGAACTCAAATGTCAAGTTCGGGGACGCTAAAAATACCCCCAAATTGCCCTGAGAGTCCTCGCGGTGGCAATCAAGCCACCCCCATAAATAGACGCGCGCTGAGTGAAATTTCCGCAGAGACCCTGAAAAGCAGGGGTGATTTTCCAGCATCCCAGAAGCGCAAAAGGGTGGGAAATCAACCGGCTCGTGTTGGGGGCCTTTGAACCAAATGGAAAAGACACCCGCGATGAGAGTTGAAGGACGAAAGTGGGTGGCTCTCGGCAAAAAACACCCAACAGAAGCCGCTACGGTTTCAGCTTTTCGTGCAGCAAATGCGGAAACTTTCGCGCCAGATTGCCATTTCCAACATGGCCGGCTGCGAAAGTTTCGCCGAAACTTTCCATGCCACGCGTGTGCGCTCCCACGCGGCGCAGAAGGGTGGGTGACCTTGGGCGCGCGTGGGATGACCTTAGTTTGCGTCATTGCCACCCGAGCGCTGGAGTGGGTGACGCTCGGGTGGCCTTGAACTTAACGAACGGTCGCCGGGTTGAAGTGCGCAATAAAGCAAGCTGACGTGGTGTGGGGGCGCACGGCCTTGGGGGCGGCTGAGCTCCTCGTGAACTTGATGGGAGGGTGGCCCAAGGTCGCTTCTGGGGGTAATTTCATCTCGAGAGCGCGGAGGAGGGCGCCAGAAATAGCCCCGCGACTCCCCATCGACGAAGCTCTCTGCCACGCGAGAGCTTTATGCGCTCTCTCTCGCCTCCTGTGCCGTCTTTTCTTGGGCGGCTTTTATGTGCAAAACGAGCCGGCATGGCTTTGCCTTTATCTGCTCCGCACGCTCCCAAGAATAAGGATTTATTTACTCCCTGAGATTAGGGGCGCTTTTACAGCTCTTGCCGGGTGATTATGTGCCGCCGGCAATTTTCCCAGGAGTTTATTATCAGCGAATTTGTCATTCATGGAAAATTCAGGCTCTGCCATTGTGAAGACGCTCAAACAGGTTGGACGAAGAAGAATGAGTAGATTTAGCATTTTAGCATGATCAGATTGAATCAAAGAAGTGAAATTTACTAAGGTGACAAGATACTATCTAAACGCCATGAGGAAAATCTCATATCAGCAAGGAAAGAATGTGTTAAGAATTCTCCAAAACAGAATAAGAGCTCTAAACATTTCACAGATAAACATACAAACACACAGATTGAAGAGAAAATCACCCCAAAATGTTATTTACAGAAGAAAATTGGTGAATTTGATGAAGGAAAAAATCATCAGAAGTCACGCCCACTCGAATGCCCCGCCCACACGCGTCCAATTTGCGTAATTTATAAAGGAAAAAAAAACTCATGGGAATAGATGTCTATAAAATGACGGAACACAGAGCAATTCATATAACAATAATTACAATCTGCATGCAATAGTTTACGGTACTTCTTTCTCTGAGTGTATCACGTCGCTTTGAACATTTTCGCACTCAAAATCATCACGAAACGCTATATTCAGAGTAAAAAGAGACGCACGTGGAGCGCTTTTTCGCCAAGGTTGCAGAAAAGCCACGCGAAAACCCCTTGAAAATTTCCCGTTCTCCACAAACATCTTCTGGAACAGCGCAATAAAGATAAGTGTGTTCCGTGTGTTCAATGAATTCGGCGTCATCGAAGATATCAGCAGCAAGAACGGGAACGATTCTATGGAAATTCATCACCAAGAATGTCACGAATTTCTTAGAAAAGTGTAGCGAAAAAGTTGCCAAATGACTCATTATGAATTTAGTCTGTTTGATTAACACTTCCGATGGCGTTTTGCTTGGTGGAAGATAAGAAAAATTCCTTTTTGCGATATTGTGAAAAGGCTTTAGATGTTTAACTGTCATATGATCATGCGATGCGGAAAACAGTTTTATTTTTAACTGCTTCTTTACCTTGGACGAGAAAATTCATGTGATCACAAATCAATTGATCAATTAGCACGATCGTGGAGTTCTCGGAAAAGCGCGAAATTGTTTGGGGAAATGATGGCGTTTTCGCGTGAGAAAAACACCCGGAGATCGTGATCGCTTTGCGAAACACTGCAGTGCCAATTTGCTATAGAAATCAAACCATTCACTCTCTCTTTCGGCCAAAGTGGCCCACTTTGGGGGCCCCCGAAGGTCTCAGTCGAATTTTGGGTCCGCCGAGAGAAAGCGAGAGTCCGAGAAAGTGCGCCAAATTCACCAGGAAAAAGAGGTGATTAACCCTATTGTTGGGGGCTTTCTTCTGACCCCTTTTTTTGCTTTTTCGAAACACTCCCGCCGCCATCGTGCAAATGTCTCATTTTGCGAACTTTTCCGCAATAGCGAGAGCGTGACAAAAAATTATCAATCTAATCAGACGTTATCGTATTTCCACGTAATGTAATAAAGCAACCTTGGCCTTGAGTGAAATCACCGAGAAGCGCGATAAAAATAGCGAAAATGTGTGTACATTAAACAATTGGCGCTCTTGCGTCACTGCACGCGGCGCTGGCGTCGTTGGGACACTTCCGGGGACGCGCTCAAGCTCTGGGACAGATTCGCTGGCGTGCGAACTTTGCTCCCATCGACTTTCAAGCCTCAATTGATAGTCTCTCGTTAGTGGTAATTTAATCAGAATGCCTAGAGTAAATAGTATAATTATTAATAGAATGATTTCAAGGTTCATAGCCATGAACAATTCGGAGATTTTAGGTGTGCTTTTGCCTCTCATCATCCATTTATCATTCAGCACTCTTCTGTCGCTCAAATGCTCATAGTTTTTAGTTCAAGTGATGAAGTCGCAAATTACCGTCATTTATACTTAATTCTTCAGACTTTCTGAATTAACAATTAAATTGCGAATAATTAAGAGTGTGATAACCCCTTAATGATCCCCCCAAATACTTACCAAAAGCCAAGGGTTAACGTAGAAATTATCTTCCTCATTTCTATCTTCGATAATATAATTCTCACTCCTCAGCCTTAATTTTTGCTACTCACCATTTCATTCGCCATTGCGTGCCATCTGCGATCTGCTAATTCTCTGTAGCCTTGACTGATAACAGATTGTATCTTCCGTGTTGCCCGCTAAAAGTGCGTATCAACGCGCAAACAATGGCGGCTCTGCACTGCGAAGGCGTCATTTGCGAATTTCGCGCAAGGCTTCGAAATGGGACGCCAAGGAAATGGCGCGCATGAGTTTACTGACCTTTTCTGCGATCACATGTGGCGCATTTCGATCGTCGCGGGGGCGAATTTGTCGCACAAAAATGCCATCCGAGGTCACAGTCAATTGAGCTGAGCTTGATAACAGCGTGATAAACTTCCGCACAGCGTCACAAAATACACTGTCAAGTTCAATAAAATGTCACAACGATGGCCAAATGTGTGTGTGTGTTTTTCGGAATGAGAGAACACAGAACAAATATTTGCATGCGCGTCGACAAATTGCAGAAGAACAGCGAGAAAAGAACTGAACAAAAAGTCAACAGAAAATGAAAGAAAAATCATATTTTTTAAATTATATTTCTCATCATCACTAAAGTAATGTTTTACAATACAACAAAAAAGAAAGAAAAAAATTTTGATGCTCCCTCATTTGAAAAATTTCTTAGTTATTGGTCCTATCGACAGAAAGAACGAGCCTAAAAATTTTGTTTATTTGATTTTATTTTTATCAATAATTAATATAGTATTTTTTTCTTTATTCCTAATAATTATATTTAACATATAGTGTTTTCTTCATCTTTTCAATATATATTACACATTAAATTATTAAAATCGCACATTTTTTTGTATCTTAACCATGTTTTTTTTTTTGCTGATTTTCTCACCTTAAATAACCTCACTTTCTCGCAGAAAAAGAACTTACGCGGTAAGAACCTAAGAAGTAGAATTAAAACTCATTCAGCTAGCTCATCATCTTGTCCTACGGTCTACTTAAATTAATTTAAAATTAAATCAAAAATTGAAATAGAATTAATAGGTTGTTTTTTAAAAAATCTCAACATTTGTAGAAGTCCTCCCCAAAAAAAAACATAAAAACACTAATTAAAAAAGAAAAAAATCAGTTCTGTTTTGTCCATTATACAATAATTAATAGATTTTTTCTCATTCAATTTAATTTATAAAATTAAGAAATAGCGTAACAAACTAAAAACAATTCTACGAGTTATTTTTTCCGCTCTTTTTCGCGTTGCTTTTCTCATCAAGACAAAAAAAAATCTTCACTTAAACTGTAGAGATTTTTTTTTTCATAACCTTTTCTCATCATTTATCTTAGAAATTGTCTTAAACATAAGAGGGTCTTCTTTATCTGCTTTTCTTTCCTAAACCTTAACAGCAATTATTGTTGGATTTTTTCAGGGAGGATTTATTTGAGTTTGTGAGACGGGATTCACATTTTTCACATACACTTTTCTTTAACGTTCAAATCTACATTTTGCGCCATTTTGGCTGTGAATTAACATCACGTTGTTTTTTCGTTCAAGTTGAGCCATTTTTGTTTTCTTTTGATAAAGTTGCTTTTTGGGTGGTTTAGCATCAACATAACCTCACATGTTTGCAAGTATATTTTTGAGAAAAAATTGATTTGACATCACTTTTCAAAGATATCTTTTAAATGTTTTCTTTTTCCTTTACACTATAGTTAAGAGTAATTACTATGTAAATTTCTTTTTTTTCCACTTGTAATGCAATATGGATATTCATTTTAAATTGTCTCGCTTTTCACATCCTAACCTCCAAATCTGCATCCCAGGCCCGAGAGATTGTCTCTCTCTCAATAGCCTCAATCCTAAAATATACTTCTTCCTATTCACTTAATTTAAAATGTGGATATAATTGAAAACATGCACTCTAAACACATTTACACAATTGATTTTTTTTCTTGATTTTCTCATTTAAATATTTTTTCTTTATCTTCCATCTATTTGTTTTTTTTTCTTTTAATATATATTATATATATATATTACTTTTTCTCACACTACAAGTCCTCTACGAAAAAATGTATGCATAACCCACGTTAAAATGTCTTCAGCTCGGGTGGGTTTTCCCCCCCAAGTTAAACTCTGCATTAAATACACTGATCTACATTTTTTTCATACGTAAAATCCTGTTTTCATTATGTTTTTTTCTTTTCTTAATTGATTTTTTCTTTTCTTTTTTTTATATTTCTGGCATTTCTGAGAAGGAAATTGTTGTGATCTTTTATATGCTTCTTCCTCATCTCTTCTGTGTCGTCCCTTCAGAACATCCCTTATCATACACAATACGAATAAATTATTTGGTTTTCAATACTCCACCATGGTGTTCGAGAGAGTGGGTTCCTTAGAGAGTGATTGGTGGGGAGAGATCCCCCGGAAAATGGGAGAAAATTCCACTGTCTCTCGGTGAATCAAATGTACAGTGTGCTTGTGTTGCTTTGACCGTCCCACCAACTCGCCGGGGGTCTTTTTTTTTGGTCCGGTCGCCCCGAGCACCAAATATATATGGAAGAATAGTCAGGGTGGCGTCTCGTAACCGCTAAACTATTGCACATAACCCCACACTTTTCGGCGACTCACCCAGCGGAGATGGCGGGGAAGAACGGTCCGGTGGAGGACGAGATCTCGGCGACGCACCGCGCGGGTCCGCCTTATGCCTCGAGGAGGAGCTTGGGTGGGGCGCTTGGGCCACTTACCAGGGTCGCCCTGGGCGGCGGTGTGGGCGACTTCTTGGACAGGTTGAGCGGCTGCTGCGGGTCCGCGATGTCCACCTGCAGCTCAATGAGCCTGGGCGAGGCGGACGACGAACTGGACGACGGCGAGGGCCCCGGCGGCGACGTGGACGTGGAGTGGGGGCTCTGGAAGTAGTGGTGAGGGTCACTGGGCGACGGAGTCTGCTGCCTGGCCGTCGTGATCACGGGCCACCGCGAGGCGGGATAGGGACAGGCCGGCGCCGTGCCGCACACCAGCAGCCCCGCCGGATGGTGCGGACTGCGGTAGGCCTCGGCCGCGGACTCGCGCTTGATGTAGTTGTGGATGATGTCGGTGCGCTTCATCTGCTCTGGGGTCATGCGGGGCTCCTCCATCAGCGACTTGGCCAGCACGGAATGCGTACTCGAGAGGGAAGACTGGTGGGCGGGTCGCGTTAAATGCATCTGAAGCTGGGACTGCACCGGCTCGGCCTCCGACGCCTCAGACTCCTTCTGGCGCATCGCCCGGAACTTCTTGTGCGGCTTGTACGCCTCGTCCATCAGCGAGTTCGTGTCATACAGCGGCGGAGCCTGCAACAGAGGCAAAAACATTAGGGATTCCGTGGTCAGCCGACAAGTCGGGTGATCTCTTACCTGAAGCACCCTCTTGAGGACGGGCATGTCTTCCACTGGCATGTACTTCTTCTCCTCGACGGCGTCCTCCACTGACGACCTGGGCGAGGAGCAGCTGGATCCGCTGCTGGCCTTGTGATCCGCCTTCTCGTTCCCGGACTCGATGCCCGAGTCCGTGGGACTGTCCAGCTTCCTGTAGCGGATGTGTCCCGTGGACCGCACCACTGGTGTGATGGTCAGCCCATTCTGCGTGAGGTGGGCCGTGCCCACGAGATCATCCTCGGAGGAGCCCGAGTTGGCGCGATAGCGCATCGGGCAGCCCGAGAGCGTGGCCGCGAGCAGGGGCGCCGTGGTGGACAAGCTCTGACTGTACTCTGAGTTCGTGTCCCCGGACTCTGTGCTGGACACGGAGCCCATGGGGCTCTTGGCCACATCCTCGCTGTTGTCCCAACTCGAGCCAGGACTCTTGCTCGCCTCCTCCTCCATTGACCACATCTGCTGCCGCAGCAGCTCCTTGTGCTCCGTCCGGAACACCACCAGCTTCTCCGTGTGCAGCGTGCTGAGTGTCCTCAAGTCTGGCATTGTCTTCAACAGCTCCGCCATGAATTCCGGCTGATCCGGTCGCTTCTGCGCGATCACGGTTTGCAGGCACGCCTTGAGGCGCGTGTACATCTTCTCAATCAGCTCCACATTTCTCAGTCCTGGACGATCCGGCGTGATCAACACTATGGCGCAAAACAGGCCAATCTCCGCGTCCGTCAGCTGCATTGAGTTCATCCTCTCCGCGAAATTGAACGTACTGTCCACAAGGAAGCGTGCATTGGCGCCATTCTGGATGGCATCGCGTCGCATCACCTGCCCATTCAGGCAGATTATGCTATTGATCGAGCTGTCGAACATGCATATGAGGCGCACGAACAGCGCATCGAACAGACCCGCCTTGAGCAGCGTGAATTTGTCATCTTGCGTGAGCAACTGAAAGCCAGGAATCATGCCAGCAAAGTCAATCACGCCCCGAATCACGTGGGCGAAGCGCTGCGAGAACTCCTGTTCGGACTGCAGTTCTGGAGCCGGATTGAGCGGACAAGCCTGAAACAGAACACATCATCGGTTAGGATTGGGCGTCATGCGTCGCGAAAATGGCTGTCTAACGGCCATTTGAAGGTCTAGGAAGGCGCAACTCAGAAGACGCGCGCTCCGCTCGCGCTAATCTCCCAATGTCATGGCGTATTTTGACTGTACATCGCACACACGACACTCCCGCTAACTGTGAATAATTGTCTCACGGCGTGGCATTGGCGGCAAATGCCTTACAGCCAGAGAAGGAGAACCAGAGGCAGGTTTATGCGGAAACATGTTTCGCGCTGCAATTGACTTCCTTCTGTCACTTTCACAGGGCCTTGGGAGACAAAGACTCTCCGTGTGTGTGTGTGTGACCCACTGAGCCCGCCAAAATCGCGAAAGTCGCTTCCCGTTTTGCGCGACATTTTTTTTGCCTTCTCAATTCTTTCAAGTTCATCATAGCGGAATTGGCAGCTTGTGTGTCAATATTCGATTGTCGATTGCGTCACTGTGCTTTTAATTCCTCAACACACACGCAAAAGTGTCTTCAATGCCACTCTCCGGTTCTTTCCTCGCGCCAAGAGAGTCGCGCAAACTAAGGGGGATTTTTTGGGGCCCATTTTTGGGCAAATATTTACAAAATGACCTATAAATATCGGCAGTTGTCGCCGCCATTCGTCACTTCTGGACACACTCTTCTTCTTCTGGCGTTGCGTATCTGGGCGCTCTCGCACCTCCGATTGAAGGCTAAAAATATTCGTCGAGACTGAATAATTCAAATATGAGGAGACACAAGACGAAGTATCATTGGCGTGACCTTAGAATTGTGTGCTCCTGGAGACACAATCTCGCCCGCTTTCCCGAGAGGGTGCGCCGCACGAGAGCCTTGAACCCAGTACGTCGACCTTGACGCCCCACATCTCAATGGACTCCATCAGTCTATCGATCCATGCGAAATGTCGCCACCCACACACTCCAACGGCACCCACTCGTCCCCGGCGACCGCTGCCAAGGCCTCTGAAAATTTCCGATAGCGCGCCGTTGCGTCACGGAGTTGACGGAAATGATTGGGCGCGCGAGATTAATTAGCACCTCAAGTTCAGACTTTTCGCGAGAGAACTCACATCTCGGGGGGCTTTTAAGCCATAAAATTCACGTTCAAATATCATCAGGCACAGGCCAAGAAAATTCAGCACAAGTCAGCATTCCTTGAATGTGTCTAGATTTGTCTCTAGAAAAATCCCCCCGCTTCGGAAATCTTCTCTCGCAAAGCATTGACTAATCGCATTTCCTTTGAACCCATTCGTCTTTGTTCAGCACAAAATTCCCATGCCTCAGAGTTCCCGAGCGTCGCTATTTTATCGGATTCTCTCCCTCAAATTCCCGGCCTGGAGTGTGGCAACATCGCTATCGGACGAACGTGGTGTCATGACGCTGACTTTGACAATTCAAGGTCGCACTCGATTAATTCCGCAGCTCACAGGTGGCGCGTGTGTGTGTGCGATAAGAGCACGACTTGGAAACAAAACGCCGCCCACGTGGCTCTCGGATTTCATATCGCCTTTTTCCCCGCTGACGTCACTCGAGGAAGCGGTTCGCCGTCTCGCTCGCGCACGCGCCGCGTGAGAGAGTGATGGACTCTCTTGGCGTGAGAATCAAGGTCGCGTGGGACGCTTCCGGGGGAGCGTCGCAGGACACATCGTCGCGATCACACACAATCTCTCTCCCGGACTTCTCCCGACACTCTGTTCCCCCCTCCTCCACCCCCTCTCAGGGTATTTAATGCGAAACGACCTTGTCGCTATTTTTCAACCTTGGCTGATAGAAGTGCGCGATCTTTTGTGTGCGCGCCTTTTTTCCTCTTCTCACCACTTTTGCCAATGTGTGTGCGTCGCGATATTCGAATGGCTTTTTTCACATTTGCCGCGTGATTCGTGTGATATTTGCTCGTTTTTTTTTTGAATGACAATAAGCTGTCGCCAAACAATTTCCTCATTTGCCAAATTTTCCCGGCACACACACACACAGTGCGCATCGGCGCAAGGACAGAAGGGATCGCAACACGGGCGACATGTCCTGAGGGAACGACGCGACGGCCAGTATGCTAATAAACCATGGGAAATGGTTGACTAATGCGGATTGAGGAAAACAGATAAACATTTAAGCGCATTTGACCTTCGTGTCGGTGATTGCGGAAGTTTAAATTTGCAATTTCGAGATCACACTGAGAAATGTCAGAGTGTTGGGAAGGCAGAGTTGGAGTTCTCACTCGTCGCGAGTCGATTGATTGATAGTGCTCTGAATAGATGAATAACAGAGCGTTTCAGGGCAGAGTTCACCTTCCTAACCTCCAATTTTTTTCTCTCTCTTCTCACTTAATGTGTTTACTCACCAGTGTTGGCATGGAGTAGGACGGGCACTCCCTGGCTCTCTGACGCATCGCCGCCACTTTGTCCTTTGTGAACTCACACGTGTCCATGTGGGCACGCAGGACGGCAGCCAGTAGACGTGGTTGATCATCCAGTTCACTGGCCAGCGCCCTCTGCTGACCCCTATTCTGCGTACTCTGCTGCATGGCCGCGAGGATGCGCGCCTTCTCGCGCTTCGGCACCCGCCCGAACCTCACGGCTGCAAAGAGAGAGAGACAAGAGATCGGGGTGGTTAGTGAGGGCGCACGATCATATTGAGGGCGCCAGGTGCAGTGGCAGATGGCGGAGGTGTCGCGTGGCCCACTTTGGGCACATGCGGCAATTGCATTGCCCATTCATCACATTCGGGGCCACCTCCTGTGGCCAACCGCAAGCACACGCTCCCAGACACTCTCTTTTCTCGCTGACCTTCCATCATCCAAAGGGGAGAAATCGAGGGAAATCGAGAAGGTTTTCCACGGACACACGCGTGTGCAGCTGGACGACGCGCAATTGAGATCCGCGAAAAAAATAAATAAACAGACAGCAACTGTGAAGTGCCAAAAGCCATTTTCTCAAACACCCAAAAGGACAAAACCGAAGGCACGCCAACTTTCTTTCTCACACCTCAGAGCAAAAAGCGTCCAGCGCGTCGCTTAGCCCAATTTCTGGGGCATAAAACTTTCGCTTATGGCGAAAAATGTGACGGCATGAATAATTGTGAGTGCGGTGAAAAGAGAGAAAAGAGAAAGCTCTCCCCAAATGACAATACGATCGTCCGCCAACGCGCCATTGTATTCAAATGGCAGGCGGAGGGGGGATAGAGAGAGAAAGAGAGCCTTTCTCTCACTTTCAATTGCGATCAACGCTTCGTGGGCACGCAAAGATTCCGCGCTGAGAGTCCTGAGCAAACATGTCACACAAATCTCACTTGCAAAGAAACCTCCCACAGAAATGTCCTAAGGACGCGCAACAGCGAAGTTGAGAAGGTGTAGGCTATCGCCGAAAAGTCGTCAGCTCATCCATGGGCAACGATATCGTGTTTTAGTAAAAGTAAGGCGCGCGAAACGAAAAGTGTGTTACTTTCTCGACAAAAGTGGTCTCAAGTGAAGGTGAGAGTTTCGTCAAACACAATAGACTGACTTTTTCACTCAGATTTTCACTCTATGCCCCGATTTAGCCTATTTGTAGTATTGATAGAGACTTGAACCTACGTGCATTGTGATAGGAGACATTCCCCTTGAGTATCCCCTTGAGAATTGGCAACTCCTCACTCATTGTCTCGTTGGCTGAATGCTACTATCCTCTCTCTGTACTGTTTTAATCCTTATGTGGTGCTCAGCACCACCACTGTAATCCAAGTAGGCTCACAAAATTGCAATTGAGTGTAATCACAATAGAGCACATTGGGAAGGAATTTTCCTCCTTTCTTCACTTGTCTCAAAATATTTCTACAGACACAAAATCACTTTACTCCAGTGGCAAATCTCTCTGTGATCTTCACACCCCACAAGTCACACTTTCCGGCGAATTAATCCAAATGAAATATGAGGGTAATCCAGGAAGAGGCCGCGCGGGAGAATCACCAAATATCACCACAGGTATACGTTGAAACGCGAGTAACGGTTGCGAACTGAGACAGCACTTCGAACCGATGCGAACGCTCGTGCGGTTGGAACACGACTGTCGTGGCTTCGCGAACAACCGTTCACGCCGCCCGCCGCCTAACTGTACACAGTGGTGGGGCATCGCGGAGGGGTGATTGACATGCGCACAAAGGGAGAAATTCCCCTGTCCTTGAACCCCCAGTCCGCACCCCGAAGTCCGCTGCCCTTGAACACCAACAACCTTGAGTCACCCCTCGACTTCCTTCGGCAGCCCAAAAATAGATCAGTCGTCGTCGTCGCGATAGTGCCTCGCGAGACGGAGATATATGGTCAAATATTAGCAGTCAGAATCTACACACAGTGTCGGGCAGAGCCATTGTAAGAGAAAAATTACATTTCGCGCGCGCCACAGCAGCGCCCACCGGTCAGGCAACCCCGCATGCACGCACTCGCTCGCATTCTGTGAGGTGCCTTTCCAGTGGAAGAGATGCGCGATTATGGGGATGGATGTAGGGACACACTTCCCCAGGACAGGCGCACGCCGACGCGCACCTTGAAGGGGTGACACCCCCTAAAATTCCCCTCCACAGGACCACAATGGCCACCACCAGGACGAGTCGCAAGACAATCCTTGGGACTGCACAATTTGGCGCCAAATGAACACACCGCGCGCGCGATCCGCCAAAAAGTGGGAGATAATTGAAAAAAATGCGAGACACACACAGAGTATTTGAGACTCTGTTGCAATACTCAATCAGCGCGTCACATAACCTCACCTCGATCGGTCACTGACTCGCCTTCTATCGCTCAATTTACAACTTTCACTTACCTCGCGCCCGATTGCGATTGCCGTCACCCAGAGGACTTGCCATTAGAGGGACTTTAAGTCATCTCAACAGCACCCATAGTGGAAAAAGAAGTCAGTGGGGCCGAGAAATGCGGAAAAGAGAAATTTTGCAGATGATAACTTTCTACTCTTTGGGTTGCCCATGCAATCGCGCCAATGCAGTGAAAACAACAACAAACATTACATTTCAATCGTCAACTTTCTCCGGAAGACATCAAATCGTGGGCTTTTCAGTGAAAATAACATTTCTCAAATCTCACTCTCTCTCTCTCTCTCACCCCTCATTGTTACGACACATGACAAAAAATAACGATAAATTGCATGACTTTCTCATGATCTCAATTTGTGCATTGGCCAAACACACGGTTCACTTGTCCGAAACCACAGCGCGAATCCTGAGTTTCTCAGCATTGACCAATACAGACTTGAGACCATCTTTCAGGCTCCTTCGGCTACGTGCGAGATGAACGAAAAAAACGCGGCCCAGGTTGCGCAACATAACCTCAATTTGGTCATCAATATTGGCTCCAAAGGAGTGCAAGTGAGACGGCCTGCTATGGAGACATTTGGTGCAAAAATTGCACACACTTCTCGCTCTAGCGTACGAAAAATGTGTCAACGCGAGTGTGTGTTGGGCCACCAACACAGCGGCGCCACTGTCGATGCAATATATGGCGAGGCGATGGGGAAATAGTCAGTGTGAACGACCGTGCATGACCCAATTGCATGTCAGTGACTTGGAAACGCAAACGCAATTTTACAGCCGTACGAAAAGTCCGATATAGAGCGAATGAGTAAACGGAGCAACTGCTAAGTGATATTAATTCAATTACTCTATCGTTCAGATAGTTTGAGGGACTTTTTGGGGACAGGACTGATAGTATATTTTGGTCATTTCACACATACACAAAAGGATGAAATGGAGAAATATTCTATTCTGGACCAGACAAAGGGTTCTCAGACTCATGGAAGCATTCCTTATCTCGCTCAACCTGCATTTCCATTCAACTCTCATTCTTCCTAAGAAAAAAAACAGCCCCTAAACACACTCTGTCATCTCTCCTTGAAACAATTATACTCTGATCGCTGTATCGTTTCTTCACATCGCGCCTCCTTACGCAATACTTTTGATTTTAATTTGTGCGTTTCCAAAGCCCACTCTCCAATAGACATTGAACTGAATAGTGAAAAAAAAGGCGCGCGCGAGAGTGAAAAACGCGATTTTGCGAGAAGAGTGGCCCATCCATTGCATAACGGCCAGGGTAGAAAATTATCTCAAATTCCATTTGGCATGGTGAGACAAAGGCGACGTCGAATCTCACTGCACGAATATTCCATGGTGGCCCAAATAGAGTTCAACCACTGTGACCTACTTGGCCGGTCACTGAACCCCAGCCACGATCACTTTCTATTGCGCACACTCGTCGACTGCATACGTTTTTCCTACAGCTCAGAAGTGGGAGGTGCGACTGAGATAGCGAGTCTCCCTTCTCTGGCGTCATCAGCAACGAGCCTCTCGCTCTGACACATACGAGCCGGAGCGAGATGGCGTTGCAGGGCAATGGGAACGAAAAGGACATCGTGTCGTGTGACACGTCCTAGGTGAGTCACCCCCAGATAGTCCTCGCCACAGTCCCTCGACCCCGGACGACCCTAAATCGGGCTACACGCACGCCATCATGCAACCTCTCGATCTGGGTGAACATAACCCCAAAGAATACAACCAAAAGGACTCACCATCTCTGCTCATTCCAACTGCTATGCATTTCTTGAGGCGACAATACTGACATCTGTTGCGATTGATCCGGAGGATGCTGCACTGTTGATTCTTCGTGCATGGCCGATACTGGATCTTCTGCTGGATCGATCGCCGAAAGAAGCCCTGCAATTATAAAAAAAAATGAGACTTTCACAAAAACCGCTCTCCCACAAAATTTTTAAACATTTTTTTTGCATCTTCGCGTGCCGCGAATAAATGATTCTCTTGTTACATCAGATCAATCAAGCCTTTTCGGTCATACTTTCGCGTGAGATTTCGAGCCATTTCTCTGCCCAAAGTTTGACGTCAGATACAGCAGATATTCCGTGGAATATCTGCGCCCGATAATGGGAATGATATGATTTTTTTTCCATCTCCCAGACAAAACACCGTGTTGCAATTAGCAACTCCGCTTAAGAACGCACAATGCCTTCAATGCTAAAGCCTCGCGTGTGAATGAACTCTGACTGGCGAAGTAACTGAACCTAGAAGCTACTATAATGTGAACCTACATCTTCCGACAGGTTCTCGTCGAACTTCTTGCAGAGCTCCGTGATGTTGTGACTCTCCGGACAGTCGCTGTCGCAGCCCGAGTCGCTGGGACCCCCTTCGGAGCTGTCCGAGGAGTCCCTGCGCTCCGGCTCCGCCTCCTCGCGTCGCCACACGCGACTCTTCTTCCACGGGCACTCCGACGTGCCCAACACAGCCTTCAGGCGCTTCCTGTGCTTCGGCTGGCCCAGCGGAGCCGCCTCCAGCATCTGCACCAGGACACTATGGCTGTCCTTCAGACTGTCCCGGCGCTCCTCCTCGCTCGCCTGCGGCGCCATCTCCTGCATTGCACAGCCCATGTCACGGTAACTCACAATCACTGGGCACTGCACTGATCACACTTGCATCGCAGGATCCGCACAACACTGCTTCACACTCTGTGTGTCACTTGGCGCGATTTTGGAGTAGTGCTCGTGACTGTGCGCGCTTCAACGGTTCATTTGCGAATGGCACGACCAGTCGGAGCGCCCGACACTGCTTCTCTCGCTGTTGAGCAACGCACACAGCCGAAGGTCTCAAGTGTGGTGAGAGGGAAGATTGCCAACTGACTGTTTCACTGAAACTTTCAAGCAACTTTCAGCCACATGCATCTATCCTCGAAGCTCCCTTCGATCGCAGGCCTACAATTGGGATCCACGCGCCCCCAAAAGCCGCCATCCCAGAAACATTGAGATTTCTAGGTTAATTGCCCAACAAGTCATCGCCAAGTTATCGTTCTACATTCCTTGAAAACATGGTTACGATGACGGGATGGATTTATTGCTGGCTTAACAGATGCCATTGCCACGCGCAGTGACGAATTTCGCGTAGAAAAAAGCCGAAGATTGGGCCAAAGGACTGCCGAAGAAGCGCTTCGTGACGAAATTTCGCAATTTTCGACGTCTCATAAGAATAAACAAAGGTCAGCGCGTGGCAAAGATGAGCTTGTTTACCGAATTACGTGCGAAAAGGCAGAAATTGGAACATAAATATGATTGTAAATTGTTTGGCAAGATTACGTTATTTTGTGGCAAATGGAGAATTCCAATCTTTCCCACTTTTCCTGTGTGTCCATTAATGTCCATTGGACAGAAGGACACAAAGAGACTCCAGTATGAACTCTTGTATTGAAATTTTCCTGTGAAAACTTCACAGTTGCTGGCAATCTTTCATCGCTGCTTCGCTCACTTTGCACTATTCTCTTGGCCGAATTGTGTTTGTGAGGCGCCCTTTTTCGCACACACTCTCCCACTTGCCGCTCATGGCGCCCCACGGAGTGGGGACGCCCCGTGACTACACAGTTCACGGCGCGCTGGTGTTGGTGAGGAGCAGTTCAACGACCGGGGCGACTGAGAAAAAGAGCACCGAGAGTTGCCCTCGGAGCTGCATCGGTGTTGGTGTCTCGTGACCCACTTTCGGGCCACCGACCCGCCGAGAGTGAGGAAAGTGAGAGGAATTGCGACGGTGCGATGCCACTGTCTCACTCACTCACACCCCGCGCCGCGTGTGTGCAAGCAAGAGGGCGCCATTGGCGCAAGCGAGACGCACGCACGTGGACTTTCTTTTGTTTTTTTCAGCCACTTTTCGCGCTCTTTTTTCGCCTTCTTCTTCTTCTTCGGATTGTGCAATCGCCGAGAGAAAGACAGAGTGAGAGAGAGAGAAATGGAAATTCGCGCGGAGCTTTTTTGTCTTTCGCCTCCTTAAATGCATTTGGTAAGACTCGGTGCACCGTTAGAGCGATTAGAAAAATCGTGAACTACCGCTCATTCACCTCCCCAATATGGTCAATGGCCTGCCATGGGAACAGAGTGTGGCTCTGGAGAGGGCATGAGTAGTCCCCCCCCCCCCAAAGGGAGGACCCTCCTGGAGAATCCTTGTGGATATAATTAGAGCTTCTCATGTCACGCTGTGGAGTTAAAAATAGAAAACAGAGCGACAAGATGGAGCAATTAGATTTCTCCTCCCATTCAAGGCACCGCCGTTGCGCACCCATTTGATTCCTTGCCACCCAGGACACCCTTTGGCCTCAGCGCCACTGCCGAAACCCCTTGAGAGAGTTCATCGACCGCCTGTCTCTCTCTCTCTCTCTCTCTCTCTGGGTGAAATGAAAATCTTTTTACATAACGCGGAAGCCAACGAAAGCGGGGGCACTTTTTCTTCGGTGCGGCGCAATCTTTCTTCACTGCCATTGTGCAACAGCCTCGCAGTTGAATTTCTCTCCTCGAATTTCCATAGCGCGATTGCGAAACGAGTGTCACCAGAGGGCGCCAAATCACGATGTGCCAATTATAGTCATCGCACCATCTCGCTCTCGGCCGTCTCTGTCGGCGGGAGAGACGAAATGGGAGCAGATGCACACGGGCTGTGCGAGTGGATATGGAGCACGGCGGTCGTTCACCTTCGGCCCATGGCGTCTCGCTCGCACCCACGGCCGGGGCCCTACGCACCCCGGCCGAGCGCGCCCGGGAGGCAGGGGAGGCCAGGTCAACGACCGCGTCCCGGAAATCGCGCGCGCTCTGACGTCATTGCGCTGGAAATCGGGTCAATGGGCGCCCTACTTGGAGGGTGGGCGCCCCAGATGCAACCCTCGCGGGACCGATGAATATTTAGCAGCACTGTGATTGCCCGAATTCACGCCTTAATTAGCTCTGGAAAGTTGTACCGAAAAGTTTCAACTCACAAAGTGGAGACAGAGCAATTTCTGGCTATCTGTCAACTCCACAAGCCCATCAATCAAGCGAGATGGCTTTTAGGGATACTTGAGTGAGAGAAGACGGAAAGGTATTGATTTTGTCGCTAATGTGCTAAGAATTCATAAAAGCCTCCATAAACTCCTTGTTGTAATAACTTTTCTCCTAAATTTGCCGTCTTTCAAACGACTAAAAATAAAACATAAGGCTTAAAGTCCTTATCTTGAAGAGCATAACATCCCATTTTTGGCCACACGTGGAAATTCACGACACACTGATATGCTTCAGTTGTCCTCTTGTGATTGAATCACCTGGATCACTGAGCTAATTAACTCGTAAGCCCACCAAATCAGTGTGTCCCTTAGAAATGCTGCTATGACAACAGGAATCTGGGAATGCATCGTGGCTCCTGGTGAATTTGCTCGGGTCATTGTCCGGATGTTGGGCTGGTATTGTCTCTGAGCATCTCGACATGCGCAGTTATGATAATTGGCGCGAAATGTGTGGTTTGGCGCGAAAAGTGGCTGCCGAGGAGGTGGAGTGCAGTGACCCCGCGCAGCGCCACGAGCGGTGGCCAGGGAGACCTCGCGAATATGGGTCAGCTGTGCATGTGTGCGCCCGAAACCTCCGGTCATTGCACCCCAGCGCGGAAATCAATCTCGGCCGGAGGAAGTAGTCCCTCTCCTTGACAGGTGGCTCGACCCATTAACCGGTCGTTGACGTGTGACGACGTCATAGCCAGCACTCCCGGGGATCCTGCTATCTGTGCCTGGCCAACTCCATCCGCGCCTTTATGCGCTTTTCCACGAATTATGGCTTCAGTGTGATTTGGCGGGAATTCCCAGAACTCTTCAGCTATCGCGAATTTGACCCAAATTCACAGCTCAGAGGACGTGACTAATAGATTTCTATTGTCTCTGTGCGCAAATCAGGAGCGTCTCCTGCTGACCACAATCTTCGCCGTGTCTCTTCTTCCCACGATTTTGCGTGCCAAATATCGACAATTTTGCCCAAAAACACACGCGAATACGCGACCTTTTCATCTCTTCTCTCCTCTGTCGCCATTTAACACATTTCTGTTTGACAGACCAAGAATGAGTCTCATTCACGTTCACGCGACTCGATCGCGTTTTTTCCCCGAGTCCCTTGAGTCACCTTGCTTGGCAGCGCCTCCTCGGGGTTATTCACACTACAAATTCCCGTTGACGCCGATTATCATCTGTTGCCGCGCGGTGTCGTTCACCTCGCGCGCCATCCCGCGATCCAGAGCGATCGCAGCATTTGATACACTTCCTGAAGGATTCCCAACTGGGATGGCTTCTTCCCCCCCCCTCCCCGCCTTGGCGAAATGACTGTTGAGTAATGCCACAAAATTCCAGTGAAGAAAAAGATTGAGTAATCGCGCGCGCAATGCTGTTGGACAAGCGCGGCGAAGAAAGAAAACAAGGGAGAGAAGTGAGGAATCTGTGAAAATGCCCACAAAATAGTGAAACATAAAAGTAACGGTGTCACGAGTGTCGCTGAATCTGTTTCGGGAGAAGTTATTGAAATCATTTATTACAGTCACCCATTGTAGTATTTACACGCGGGGCCGTTGAACCCAATCCATGTCACTCCCTCTGGAGACTTCTTGCCCACCCTCGGTCGTCGACCGAGTGAATTTCTTTCCAATCGATTCATCCCAATTACACACTTTCCTCTCTCCACGCGCTCTTCTTTTTCGGCAATGCACACGCGGAGCGCCTCCCTAACCTCAAAACAGCCCAGCCGCGAGGGAAAACTCATGGGACTTCATGGTTTGGCGCGCGACATTTCCGGACCGTGAGTCACGATGCCATTTATGCAAATCACATGTGGATTATGCAATGCTAATCCGTCACGTGACGGCACGATGTCAACGTCCGGATTGAGGGGGACCAGCGTCCATTTTTCGGGCATTTCTCTTTCGATCTCCCCGCCAGTGGCGTGGCAATTTGGAAGTACCGCACAGTGCAATGACTTCTTAGGCATAGAGTCGCACAAAATGCGGAAGAATCATTTGAAAGAGCCAACACAAGCTCCTATTCATCACTTTTACATTATTACTCATTCCTCTTCATCATCTTTCCAGCCCATCTCACGCCACTTTGCTCGCGAACAAGAGGCGCTTCTGTGCCTGCAAAAGCCCACCTAACCGGGATGGAGAGAGCAATTAAGGACACTCACCACATCCTCTATTCCTCTGTCCTCTTGAGCGGCAAAACTCCCTCGATTCTCTCAACGCCAGCAAAATCGTCCCCTATTTCATACTGTAACTTAACTCTATTTTCCGTCTCTCCCTCGCGCCAGGATCAGCCACAAAACCCCCCCCCCCCCCAAAAAGTGCCTCCCCAAGTCGCCACGGCAGCAGTGACGATCACGAAACGTCATATTATTTCGAGAAACGGGACATTAAAACAGAACATTCCTCTGTTGAATCAGTTCGTTGCCCTAGTTTGACCTCGCGCGCTTTATTATTGCAACTTGGCGCGGCGCACTATCTACTATAGAGCTATTTACTATCGCGCCTATGTAGTGGATGAACTCTTGCACTCTCGCGAAAGCCGTTCGCCCCACAATTCCCACTCCAAGGGCCCAATTGAGAAGGTATTTCGGTGGATAACCCCAAAAACCGCTCAGCCGTGCTCGTTCCAGAGATTTGGAGGCGCTCGTTTTTTTTTTTGGTTTTCTGGAAGCTGCTTGCAGGAATGGGGTTAAGTTTGAAGAATTAATCACAC